TATCTTAGCGTACTGCAATGATGTCCTCAGTAAATTCATTGTAAAAATATAACTGAAATGACTTTGCACTAGCAACAAAAAACATGACGAAATGGTTTTTAAACGTTACAATTGATATTGAAACGCGAAATTACCGCGTTCTGCATTTACTTGTAGGCATGAAAAGCGCTCATGCTCATTCAGGTCTACTGGATTAATGTACCTATTTTTGTGCATTAACATTTAAAGGAGCACATGCAAATTGCCACTTATATACTTGGAACATTCAGTGGTCATTAAACGATAGAACTAGCAACATGTGTCTGTGTTAAATATGACACGGGTAGTAGACAAAACAATATGTTGCAAATGAGTGCCTATGCATGGCACAAATCAGCACCATAAAGACGAGGCAAAGTGTAGGATTTGATCCCTAACATTATAATCAATCAATTAAACGAGAACAGTAGCTCATTATTTATAAAACATAATTTAAATGTAATCTATACTGTTAATGCACAACATTATAAACTTAACGATTGTTAAAATGTATGAGCCTAATACATGTAGGTCAAATGATGATACGCTTTGTACTTCCTTAATACAGAAAAGTACAGGGAAGACCCGTTGCTAATGTTGAGAGAACTTGTGGGTCAACCCTTTTGCCAAATATGCCATGTCATTGTATTGTATTGTAACTGTCTACATGTATGTATATGTCTTATTTTGGGCAATAAAATATGTTTAAATCAAAAAAGAAAAGTACGAAAGCGTCCTGGTGCCAATTTAACATGTTCTATAAAAAAGATAACTCCTACGTAGGAGATAAAAAAAAAGCCTAATAAGGAGTTTATAACTCCTACGTAGGACTTTTTAAGTCCTACGTAGGACTTTTAAACTCCTACTTAGGACTTTGTAACTCCTACGTAGGATTTTATAAGTCCTACGTAGGAGATAAAAAAGCCTAATAAGGAGTTTAAAACTCCTACGAAGGACTTTTAAACTCCTACGTAGGACTTTAAAACTCCTAATTAGGTTTTTTTTATCTCCTACGTAGGAGTTACAAAGTCCTACGTAGGAGTTTTTAACTCCTAATTAGGCCTTTTTATCTCCTACGTAGGAGTTATAAAGTCCTACGTAGGAGTTACAAAGTCCTACGTAGGAGTTATCTTTTTTATAGAACATGTTAAATTGGCACCAGGACGCTTCCGTAGAAAAGGGATTTCATCAGGTACACTATTAACAAGTTCTTTTTTTTCCATTACCACAAAATGCTTAAGTTGGCATTAGTCAATAGTGTCACATACAAAATATTTATGTAATAAAAAATAATGGTAATGTTAATAGAGAATACCATGCTAGTGTCTGATATTATAAAATTTATCAAGCAAGGCTAAGAAAAAAATTGAAAGGGCGAGGCTCTGCCGAGCCTTTCATTTTTTTGTCGTGCCGAGCCTGATGTTAAATTAATATTAGAAACAAATGGACGGGACGAGAATATTTAATTATAACATAAAACATTTAATGCTGCTGGCATTTTTACCATTTTTGGACAGACTCTGGTCATCCATGGGACTTTTTGATCGGAAACGGTCAAAAAGTAAGTGTTTAGACATTCATTATAATGTAATATTTGGATGAAAATAGAACATTTTATTGCGAAATTTCATGTTAGTAATACGTTAATATATTACATATAATTACTGCTTTTGAAGCCTGTCGCTATTATTGAATATTTTAGTTATTGAAATAGATTTATTTTGTCCCTGGTCTATGTTTTAGCATCTAGATAATATTTTTAAAATATTTGACTTTAACATTGGTAATATTATAAATTCGTTGATTTATAGAGCTGTCATGATTTTTTTCTGTCAATCAGTAATTGGTACTAACAAGTAACATATTGTTTCCAATTATAGCACATTTTTATGTTTCCAATTAGTGCCTTTTGAAAAAAAGCAAGACCCCGGGGTGTTAAATAGAGTTATTATATGATCTAAATATAGCTGCAATCTCATTGGTCCAAACAGTAGTCAACAGAACTTTTTATAGAATCATATTCACTGGGTGTAGTATCATATTCACTGGCTGAATTGGATTTTCCCAGTCTAAAAATAGATTGAGACTCATATTCAATGACCATATATCGTAGACTGTTAATAACGCGTGCTTATTAAAATATAATTGTTGCGTTTTGTTCTTTATGGTATATTTCTCGATTAAAATATCATTACTTTACAATTACAGTTAAAAGTTACACCGCAATGATGAGTATAAACTTGAATTACTTTTATATGCCAACGTTCGCGTAGTTGTTGCACACCTTTCACGTGCCTCTTTTTCCCGCGCTTCAACGAAACAGGCATAAATTGTACGTGCATAAAGTTGTACTGTCTGTGATTTTCTTTAAATTCTGATAGCCTATTCATATAATAAAACAATTATTGACTAGTGTGCCCTTGAATATGATGGTGATATTCACCGGCAGAAAGTCATATTGACCTCGGCTATCGCCTCGGTCAATATGTCATCTGCCGGTGAATATCACATCATATTCAATGGCACGCTAGTCAATAATTGTATAATAATACGGTATTTGTAAAATCGATAATGTTGATTAATTAATTAAAGTCTGCAAACTATGAAAATTCTCCTGAAACATATAAAAAAAAGCAGGTGGCCATGTCTAACACTAAGCTGTTGTTACGTAATGGACACTTTACTTATCAGTTCATGTCAAAAAATTGTCAGAAAAAAAAATCATGCAAAGGACATTTATAAGAAAGTAATTATGGATATATCATTGTATTGTCGATATTTGTCACCAGATGTCAATGTACGGTATCATCTGAATCAATGACAGCTCTATTTTAAATCCAGATTTTAGTGAAAGAATTATCGTTTTCTTTAATCATGGTAATATATGTAGAAAGTATTTTTATTATTATTACTATTATTATGAAGAAAAAATGATAACTAAACAAACATTCCCCAACCTGAGATTATATTGCTCTGTTGTCTCTCTAATTCCAAAATGAAGGCAATTGTTCCACCTAACAGTGTTGAGTAATGCTGTTGGTGTCATGGCACCACGTACACCTTTGATATACAATTGATCGACTTCTTTGTCGGAGAGTGACGATGCAATTCGTGGTTTATTGCCTTTTCTCAACCTTTTTAGACATTTTTGTTTGGCCTTTAATGCATCTCTTGTCAAAGAAAATTATGGGCCATTTCCTCTCATTATGAGAAATGGATATTTATTTCTCTGCAGTTTTCGGTCAATACTACTGATAATGTTACGTAAAGAACTCGGTTCATATTCGGTACCATCTGCTTTCTTTATAGACAAAATAAAGTTTGCTAAATATGAATCAAGTTAATTAATAGTAATCTCATTAATCTCTCTTCTTTCACCTTTTGTTTCAAGAAATCTTCAGAACTTATTTATGTCAGTTAAAGTTTTCGCATGGTATTTTTGTTATCTTACTCTTCAATTAATTTATTAACATCACCTGAAAATAAATTCAAAAATTCTGATCTTGTTTCAGGAGGTTGTTCAATTGAAGTTGGCAATTCAGGTTTGTTTCCAGCAACAGAGATGGACAACAAAGGGGCACTCTCAGAAAGGCTGGTTTTAACAAGGCTAGGTGGTGTTGGTTCCGTTTCATCATCAAAATAAGCGATTTCTAGACTGTATCTGTTCAGGAATTCATCTGGATCAATTTCTCCAACATGTTGTGGTTTAAGCTGATCCCAAATTAAGTCAAATGTGGTCTGACTCAAAATAATCAGACATTTTTGAATGACTGAACTGCACAGATCTTGGATTAAGGATACTGTAGCAGAAGACAAGCTGATAAATTCTCTACTTAATATTGTTATTTAATTTATTTTTATTAACGGACATGTTTTTTTTAAATTTGTTAAAAAGTGTTAAACAATTCAACAAAATAAAACAGTAACAATTTTTTGTCTGTTTTTAATATGTTTTATTTTCATCGTATCAAAATATGCAGTATTTGTAGTACCCGGTGTAAACAGTAGACCGGAAATGACCCGAAAAGGTAGCTCTGTCAAGGTCAAAATGTGTATTGATGAGGTGTCTGATAAAGCTTGGGGTGACTGATAAAGCTAGATTTATCAGGCATGCACTTTATCAACAGAAATCAATGTAATGACATGATAAAACATGCCCATTCAGAGTTCGTATTATATTACTGAAGGTTTTTTTTTTGTATGATAACGTCAGTAAATACCATTCCTTTGTTATCTGTTTTAAATATTGGGTATGTGCCAGATTTAATTGCGATCTTCTCATTCTACCCTTTCAGTGGCTATTGATTCGTTGCGATCAATGTGTTATGAAAAACTTGATTATATTAATTTAATAAGGACTCTTATTTTATTGTATTTGTTTTAAAGTTTTCATAAAGTTAAATATTCAAATGGAAATGTTGAAATACGGCAATTTATTTTAAACATAGTGTTAACTTAAAATATTATCTACATTTAACACATAGGAAATATTATAAGAGTGAGTAACTCGTAGTTTTTTTTTTTAATTTAAGTTATGCTAAGGATTGGTATCATGAAACATTTTTCCCCCACCTATGGCAATGATTCTTCGTTTAATTTTACATACGATATATATTAAAAATGTATGAGGTTACTTATATATAAGATAATAACGATAATATATTTTGGTGCTATATATATATGTTGTTTTTGAAATATAATATATTATGTACATTTCACTTTTATACAATTAATGAATTAATTAATTATCTCATCCATAAAAAATACTTAGCGTCCAAAACAAGTCGAAAAAATTAATAAAGGTAACATCAATCCATTTATCCCAGTATTTCACCGTTGTGATAGGTAATATAATAATCATTTTAGTTGTTAGATATAGCCCAGTGACTGTTAGACTGGCTTTTAAGTCCTTCATCATGAAGTAGAAACTTTAGAATTGAACTATTATCAGATGTATCACGTTTGTTATACATGATTTTTAGTTAACAAAATAAGGATGGGACAGAAGACAAATATACTGGAAGTATTCAAATCAGGAATTACCGAATTTGTGGAGATAAGTGTTAAACAGCACCATGACAAATTACTGGCACAACTTCCAGATGTCGAACAAAGTGGTTTTACAACATTGGCATCCTGCTTCGAATGTAATAAGTATAACCTTAAACCAAGACATTCTAACAATGTATGTCCATCACCGATCAGTTGCCTCTGTAAATATAAGCAGAGAGATAAAAGAGCTTGTCCTAATTACATATGCGATTTTATATGTGAAGGAATCATTGAGGACCATATGAAATATTCACCAAATTTCAAAACAACAGATATAAGTCAATGGACACAGAACTACTGGGATATAGCAAAATGTTACATGGAACATAGCTCCGACTCAGCCGAGACAACAGATATTTTAGACCTTCTCCATCTTATCACAAATAACAGATTTTTACTTCAAAAAATTCTCCAAAATACAACAGATCTCTCCAGCGAACAACTACAAAAACAATTGGACAAGGTAATATACAACTTCATGTTGCTAATCTTTCCACCGTTTTAAGCATACAAGTGCACATTGCCTACTTTTAACCATATGTTTTTTGAACATTTATAAATAAAACTAAAATATGTATAATATCAAGTGACTTTTGCCAGTTATAGATGAATTTGTCTTTAAGGAAAGTTTTCTTTCAGACTTGGTGACAAATGTAATGAATTCCTTACCGATTTAAATAGTTTCCTTCTCCATCTTTTGCGAGTACCATATTCGTGTAACTAGTGGATCTGTCATGTTTGATCTATATATATTGTAACAAGAAAAGTTTTATAAGTCATAGATGTTAGTGATTTAATCGGATTTTCAAAGGGTCCAATTCTTTAACATAGATTTATAAGCAAATATGTTACCATTGGACATCTAAACATGCTCAGGATTGTGTTTGGTTTTACCGTAAAAAAATGGTGATATACTAGTATGTCAATTTTGCCTAGATTTATTTCAGATCTTGAACTTTAATCATCATCTTACACATGAGCATTAAACTTTTGCAGCTTGCCATGCCATTTATGATTAACATAAATTCTATGCATTTAGATATTAAGTTAACGTGAAAACGCATTACTTGTATTTTATTTTATTGTCAACAAATGTGGTTTGCATTAAAGCATGTATGAAATTCAATTTAAGTAAATGTAGCCTAATCTATATTTCAGATAATCAAAAAAGGTCGACGAATCAAACATCCAGCAACTTCATTTACGCCTGATGATTTAAAACATATGCACTTAATTCTATCACAATTGGGAGGCCAAAATGCATTGCGAGCAAAGGCAAAGTTAGAGGAGGTACGCATTAAATCATTCAATCATTCATTTGTGTAACAAAAATGTAATACTTAGAAGAATCAAAAATTTATAGCAATGAAATATCAGACCATTTGTGAAAATAAGATACCATATCATTCATTTCATTACTTACAATATCTTTCAATCTATAAATTGTAATACAGTTTCAAAGTATATATAAGATTCATTAACCGATTCAGCATTTTTTCACCACTGCTATCTATTGGGACTTCAGTTAAAGGTAAGTGCACTTAATACAGATTTTATTTAATATCTTTTATGTCCTGTTGTAGATATCACCGGAGATCGTCAAATCTAAAGAGTTGGAAAAAAGCTGTAATAAAAAAAGTAAGAATATTTTTGAAAAATGTCGTTTTTAACTCAATGATATTAATTGCAATTCAAACTTTGTCATTTTTATGTTTCTCGAAGAATCAAATATGTTTGCATATACATTAATTCTGTTTTTTTTCTGGTTTTTTTTTTTTTTTTTTTTTTTGGAAATGTTGCTGATGTTTTTTGATGTACAAAATTAATTGAATAATACAATCACTTATCTACAATAAGTCGATATTGATTATTGATTTATGTGCCTTTTCAGTGAACTTTCTTTTTATTTGACAATACAGTTTATAGGTTTATAAGGTATATTGTTGTCACAGTATTTGATATCCTAAACATTTTGTTTGTGACTTTTTTGCAGAACTCCAAGGTTTTACTTATAAATACTTTAAAACTGCAGAAAATGCCTTTGTCTGCTCTGCACAAAAAAGTACCAAGGCAGATAATTTCGATTCGAGATCATTTGACCTGTCGTTTGAACAAACACTTCTTGTCGGAGACTCAGTGAAAAGTTTTGAAGAATGTGAAATTTCTGAAAGCAGCGTGGTCGACTTAATTTACGGCACTAAAAGGTATCGTTCAATTTTTGTTGAAGACACGGAAACAAATCAAAAGACTTCCAATAAATGGAGCAATAAAGAATGGCTGATCTATAATATACTGAATATCTATTTCAAAAGATCTTGTAAAGATGGTGACGTTAGAAGTGGTTCTCCTCCTTTTCCTCAAAAAGAAAAATACACCGGGTTAATATTAGTATCCGAGGCTGTGTCAAAAAGAGAAAATATACCTTTCGAAACATTTAAAACCATTGTTAAAGATATCTTAGAAGAAAGTGAAAGGTGCTTAGTCATTTTGGATTGTAGTTATGAATCTGATTGTAGGAAACACTTTAAAAAGCACACTGTAATCCAGGTGCTTGAATCTATCAAGTTTCGTGACCAAACTTGCGGGAAAAGACCTCTAACTTTATACGTGAAGCCTAATCAAGTGAATAAACTTACTTTAAAACATGAAGGGATAGAAAATGTTCTACAGAAAAGAACTGCACGTATTATTCAAAACATGCTTTGCAAGTCAGTTAAAAAGGTCGGTCAAAAAAGTATTTCGTTGACTTTTGAGCGCATCGCCTTTGAAGATATTTCAACGAAAGTCAAATTGACTTCTGTTTCCGAAATACCATTACTTAAACTGCATGAGTGCGTGTTTACGCCAGAAACCGGCAACAGTGTGCGATCTATTGCAATAACTTCAAACAATACAAATATTTCTCATTATCTAGATCAAATAAAAGAAATCGCCTATCCCTTACTCCGAAATAATACAAATACAGTCAGGTTCACATCATCAGAAATAATAGCTGGGAAAAAGTATTTCTGTATAAGTTTAAGTTCGGCGAAAATGGATAGCTTGGCACGAGATTTCTTCGGAAAACCATTGCAAAATTGTAGCAAGGCAACTATTCACGCATTGCTTACTTTTGAAATGGCAAAAATACTGATGTTATCAGGATGTGATATCAACGATTACAGCCTAGCAAATGAAGACGATAAATCGCTTATTCTTAGCAGCATCAGGTATGGTCTTCTCATGTCAAACTCAAATTATGTAAATGTATACCCGGCTGAATGCCATCTTGAAAAACAATATTCAAATGATGTTGTTTTTGTTTGTTTCATGAAAGACAATTTTGATATTGACAAAGAACGTGCATTTGGGAAATATCGAGGTTTTCGAACTTTTCAAAGAAGTTATAATGACGTTTCATCGGAGACTTTGACTGCAGAATCATCATACGAATCAGATTATTCCATGGACGAAGAGCAGAAAAAATGCATTGAGGAAACTGTAGCTTCTAATGCCGATAAGCTAATGGAAGAACATAGTAATTTAGAAATGATAAGTGTCAGCATGGGAAGAATAAAAGATGACAAACTTTATGTAAATAATAGTCCACATATAGTGTTGTATGTCAGGCTTAAATCCTTCATTCCAAAAGGTGAAACAATTTTCCCAACTAAGTTAAAGCATCCCCATAAATCGATCGAGTTTCCGGTGGATGTAAGAGAGGGATACTTTAAAGCTTTATCAGATACTGTTCCTGCGGCGGGATACCAGTCTCTTCCTACTGTCAAACTCAGTAACTTGGTAATGGGATGTTCTATAGGAATTAAGGGAAACCGAGGTAGCGGTACAGTAGGGCCTTTTGTACAGATTGAATACGGAAACGATGATTCAAAAAACACAGGTACAGGTTTTTTGACAGCTTGTCACGTTTTTGGCGGTCCTTCGAGAGTCCAAGGCATTTTAGGTACTCTAGTAGTTCAACCGTCTGATGGAGATGAGCTCTTTGTCAATGTTTCTGCTCAAAGAAAGGAATGTGACTTAACAGACGACAAAGTATGTGGTAAAGTTGTTGCGTGTGCTTATACGTCTGAGGTTGATGTTGCCCTTGTGAAAATAACTAGACGACACCCACTTAAAGGGGACTTTATATCCTGTGCATACGGAGATTATTTAAATGCAGGTAAGATTTTAAACGACTCAAATTGTTGGTGAATCGACTTTTCATTTAAGTCTTTCAATAGATGTCTGTTTGCTACATTACTTTTTGACTTTGACAGTATCATCTCTCAAAATTTGAAATCAAAAATTAAATGCAAGTATTTCAAACAGACAATAAATAATTAATATCTATATGGCAATAAATATAAATATATTAATTCACTTGTTGAGATGTCTATCGTAAATTTCCACACAGGGGTCAAAGGTCAAATTTTCAATAAATGATTCCTCCTTCTTTGTAGACATCAGACAGATCTTGTTGAATGATCCTAAGGCCTTTAATAACTCTAGCTAGCATTAACGAACTTTAAACTGTGCACAGATTTTATAACAAATAATATTATATCACCATAAAGCTGATCACTTGGGCTTGGTCCCTTGAAATCTGTGATCTGTATAGATGGCCTACTTACAATCGCAACTACTCGGCCCTTGCCGTCAGACTTCGGATTAGGACCTCGAGCACAATAGTATGAATACACAGAACGGATGAGGTATTTCGGTCTAACCTACGCTAAGAAACGAAACATGTAAACAAATAGTAATTTAATGCTGGGAGTTGTTGACAAGTTTATTTCCAATATATGTAGTAAAAGTCCACCTAAAATAAGTGAATTCATAAGTACAAAAGCATACAAAACATTATTTACATATTAATTATTATGGCTGTAGAAACCAAAAGTTCAAAAAACCAACCTGTTGACATTTAGTCGAATTAGTTTAAAATTGAAGATAATAGCCGAGGCAGTTCCGAATGAAGGACCTCGAACACAATATTAATAGTATGAATACACAGAACGGATGCGGTATTTCGGTCTAACCTACGCTTAGAAAATTATCATGTAAACAAATAGTAATTTAATACTGGAATTTGTTGACAAGTTTATTTCAAATATTTGTTATAAAAGTCCATCTAAAATAACTGAAGTCATAGCTACAAAAGATTTCTATATTTTATGAATTCACTTATTTTAGGTGGACTTTTACTACATACAATGTATATTGGAAATAAACTTGTCAACAACTCCAAGCATTAAATTACTATTTGTTTACATGTTTCGTTTCTTAGCGTAGGTTAGACCGAAATACCGCATTCGTTCTGTGTATTCATACTATTGTGTTCGAGGTCCTTATCCGAAGTCTGACGGCAAGGGCTGAGTAGTTGTGATTGCTGTTGTGACACGTGACCGCGTTAAATGAATTATCTTCTCCATTTATATTGGCTACTGCGTTAGTAACGTAGTAGATTATGGAAAAGAAAAACCAGATATATTAACGCTTTTGTCAACATTCTTTCTTGAATCTAGGTGTCAGTAATGATGGATTTATACAATAAACCTAACTAGATTAGTATTTAAAATACTGTTTACTTGAAATTTTATTTCATTTTTTTTTTTTCATTTTACCATCTGGAGGTCAGTGGCTTCCATGTGTTTCTTCTTTCTTTAATGTATTTATACCCCTTGAACAAAAGCCCTCTTTATAAACTTTTTCTCTCAAAAGCCATTTTGCTTACATAAACGAGAAAAGTTCAGTCTGCAATAAACCCCTTCAATTGGGTAGCTGCGGTAAAAAAAACGGACAAAATTGGTAAGTAGTGGTTACTGCAACAGAAATATTATTCAATCACTAAATTACACATTTATTGATCAAGTGCTTCAGAAAATGTGGAAGTTACAAAAAAGGTTTACTATACGAGTTTTATGGCCAACCTTCGTACATATTTATAATGTAAAGAAAACTGTAAGAATCAACTTAATAATACATATTACACCAGTTATAATTATATTTGTTGTACATTCTTTTTATATACAGAATTGAGGAATGAACTAAAATACGAAGATGGTTCTATCTCGGATCCAAATGCCGCCTGTAACAAAAAGATTTTAAAAGTTGGAAAAAGGACGTTACTCACCTCAGGAGAATGTTCAATACAAGCTGATGTGGTTAAAATATATGATATTGATAACTTAATCATCACTGATCCTCATACGGAAATAAGAGAGCAGGTTGTCATGAAGAACATGTTTCATTTCGGCCCCTCTGAGATCCACCCTTGGATCCCAGATGTTTGTGATGCTGGTGACTCTGGCGCAGGGGTGTTTCTTGTAGATGAAAATGAAAAACTTTCGTGCATTGGAATGGCCATAGGAAGGATGGAAAGAAAGTGCGTTGTAACACCAATAAAAACAATACTTGAAAATCTTTCGACTACCCGTCATAAAATCCCTAAATACGAAAATTTAAAAGTAACGATGAAAAAGTTTGATGAATAAAGATTTTTAATCAGGTACAAGCGGATACATCAATTGTTTCAAACAGAGATGGGAAGAATTTACGATTTATATGCATGTCTTGCCTACTTAAGATGTTTTTTTTTTGTAAAATGCATCGTTCAAACTGCATTGGTCGTGTTAATGAACATTGCATATATTGGCATAAAAATTCAATTTAATTAAAGATCAATATGTAACATTTATTGTCTTGATATCTCTTCTTAACAAAGATAATTTCAAATAATACGTACATGTACTCTGCCAACTTTTTCAATTTCTGTTTGTTAGTGATCAAACCTCTGAATACTTTTATAGTAACTTTCTCCTTAAATTTTTTATAAACTTAACAATTTATTTTCTAATAGGTTTTTAAAAGAGGGCCGAGTTGACCTGTGCCGAGTTGACCCTTGCCGAGTTGGTACAGGACCGACTTAACTCTTAAGCATTCAAATGACTAATGATGCAATTTAAGTAATTGGCAAGTAATTGTAGTTTCAATATTTCCTGCCAAAATAAATTCACACGGGAAAAAATCAGAATTCGTAGTAGCTACGCTCTTCGAAATGAAATTTTTTAAAGGGGTTTCGTGTGATTTGATTTTCATTTTTTAAAGGGGTTTCGTGTGATTTGATTCAACACAAATGATAAATGAAGACAATGAAGTAAATTTCATGAATTTAGTCGGCAGTCACCAGCGGCATTGCTACGAGTACAAGTTATTAATTTGCTAATCTACAAAACATTAATAATATTATTGAAAAGAAGAACAAATAAATTACCACGTATACAATTTTCTTTACGAAAATAAATTTTTTCACATCATGAGCTTAAATAATCAGTTTAAAAGTTCAATGTTTGATTCAGGATCAAGATCAGGACTAACTTGCAAATTAAATTTTAAAATTTTCTTATTGGTTCTTTGTTAGAACTAACGCAAAACTGACATAGAAATAACGCAAAATATTAAAACTAGGTTTGCTATGGCTGATTATTTTTTTAAAAGATAATTCTTATTTTATTTTACGGTAGAATTGTGATTCTACTTTGGTGCCTGCTTGTGTCTGAAGAGTTCCTCTAACAATTAAACGTGGGATGTCGCCATACGACATTGATCAATCGTAATTGTTTGACCTGTGTGGAATGTTTTGTTATTCACTGTGGCTGTATTCGGATCACTGGAGACAATAAGTCTACATTTTAAATTGTTAGAACATTTTCGTAGGAATACTATATGATTATATTCATGTATTAAAGAATGTTTTAAAATTTATTTGTTCAGAAATTTTATGTGTATTCATAGTAAAATAACAGCTGGTGCACTGGGTAATATCACTAATTTTGTAAAAACTTTTCAGGTCTTCAAGGAATTTAGACATACGCGTATACATTGTATTTACTAATATAAATACATACGAGTTTACTTGGAACATTCAGCGCCAAACTGACCAAAAATCATTAATTGTCCAACATATTGAACCTTCTTTAATGTGTCCAACTGATAGAAATCAAGGTCGCATGACAAATTGTCAGAAGTGGGCCATGATGGCAAAATATCGCTTATCTAGTTATATGGGTTCTAAATGACATGGAACAGTCAATATGGTAAACCATTAAGTCTTCAACTTATACTGACATCACAAAGTTCATTTTTCCATCTGAAAAAGTGCACATGTAAAGAAGTTACTGTGGCTAACGAAATTAAATAGTGCCATGGAAGTCACCAGTTTACTAAACCAATGGTTTCTCTGGAAATCAGTGGTTTCTATGAGAGTCAATGGTAATATTGAAAGTCTATGTTTGCTATGGAAGTCACTGGTTGCTATGTAAAAAGTTAATGCTTGCTATGGAAGTCACTGGTTTCTATGGAAATGCACTTTTTCCCATGGAAAGGTATTGGTTGCTATGGAAAGTCTAAAATTGCTTTGAAATGCAATGGTTGCTATGGATTGTCAGTGGTTGCTATGGAAGACTAGGGTTGCTATGGTATATCAGTAGTTGCTTTAAAAGTCACTAGTTGCTATGGAAAGGCAATGGTTGCTCTGAGTGTCAATGGTTGCTAAACACAATCAATAGTTACAGTTGAAAGTCACTGGTTGCTACTAAAATCACTTGGTGCTATGGAAGTCAGTGGTTGATATGGAACATCAATGGTTACTATTGAAAACAAGACAAGACATTGGAACATAAGCAAGCATGCACCAAGGCAAGGGCATAAAATCTAGTTCCTACGGAAAGTCAATGGTTGCAAAAAAAGTCACTGGTTGCTAAGGAATTTACTGGTCACTACGGTAAGTCATTGGTTGCCATGGAGGTTACTTGTTGCTTTGGAAAGTCAGTGGTTGCTAGGGAAATTCACTGGTTGCTATGGAAAGTCAATAGCTGTTATGTTATGGAAATCACAGGTTGCTATGGGAAGTCAACTGTTGCTAAAATAAGTCATTTGTTGCTGTGTAAGTCACTGGTTACCATTCCTCCTGGGTGGAGTCGATTTATCTTGGTAGTCATAATCAATATCTCTAAGCTCTAGCTCTTGTTAACTTTTACTGTATACATATAACAAAAATCTATGGGCCAAATTAGGGCTATAAATTGAATAAGCCTGGTACAGATCCCCTAGACAATGTGTTATGCCAAATATCTAAGCTTTAGCCTTTGGTAGTATTAAACAAAGATTTTTTTTAAGTTTTCACTGCATAAATACAGGTAAAATCCATGACTCAAACACAGAGCCAATGGCTTTAATTTAAACTTGGTAGAGATCTACAAGGCAATATTTTATGCGAAGCAAATCTGATTTAGCCTTAAGGTTTCAGAGAAGATATTTTCAGTTTATACTAACTACATACATGTATAAGGATAATCTATGACCCATGGCATGGGACAATTTTCACCAAAGGGATATTATTTGAACAACCTTTCTAGAGGTCAACTTAACGATGGTTCCTGCTGAATATCTAAGAACTAGACCTTGCAGATTTCAAGTTGACTTTGAAGAATTCTATGTATAAGAAAAGCCATAACCTCTGGGTGGGGCCAATTTTCACCCCAACAATTTGAACAATTATTGTAGGTGATGATGCAAGCCAAATATCTAAGCTATAGCCCATTCACTTTCAGAGATGTTTAAAGACTTCATTTTGAAAATCTATTTAGCACCTCTGACCCAGATGTTCAATGTAGCAGAATCTTTTGAACAATTCTATGCTGAGAGAATACAAGGGAAATTCATAAAATTTGACCTAATGGCTTCAATGGAGAAATTGTTTGAAAAAAAGATGATGGACAGATTGTCATAAAAAAAAACTTGCCTTGAGCACAGAAGGAAGAACAAACTCATTTTCATTATGGATGGAATGTTTTATTTTTTCATGTTGCATATCACGATAGAATGTTTACAACAGAGGTCAATGTATACATATGTCATCACTTTAATACCTTATACTGTAACATACCTAGAACTTTGTCTTACATTGTTGCAAACCATGTTTCCTTTTAACCTATGCAACAAATGATAGACGTTTTGACAAAACTTTTTAAAAAGCAATATAACATAATATCATATCACAGAAAATAAGCTGGTATTTTATGCACTCTTGCTTAATAAATTCATTTTAGAAAATGCATGGAAGCTCTAATACTTTTCACACATACCATCCAATGGAAAACATTGTACATGTAACAACATGATTATCCCATAAGTCCTGTACACTTATATATAATTAAATTGTTGTTTTTTTTCCCTATAATTCAAGTTCATGTTAAGTTGATGCCATCTTACTTTCAAATTATTGTAAAATAATGTATTAAATTCAAACATATTGTAACAATTTCAATATTTTTTCTCTGTCATACAATTTTTCAGGAAAAAGAACAAGTAAGATGAAGACATTATAATGATAAACATTTAATCTTATAATCACAGAATTTTTTAAAAGAATCACAGACATTGAAAACAGCCTAAAACTTCTAGAGATTATTCACCAAGCACTCAAATTTTCAAGTACAAATTCCAGTTCTCTTGAATGTGAAAAATACAACATAATTAAGGCAATTTTATTTATACAATATAATGTAATTTATAAAACTGTTAACAGCATTAGACATAATAAAACACAGATTGGAATCACAAACACATGAATGATATGAAGATCCAATATATCTAGCAGCTTGTATGATGTATAAATATTGTTAGTTTATCCCTTTTTTATATAAAAACAATCACAGAATCCATCATCATTCATCTGAAAATAGTGAAACATGTTGATAATATAAATATTGTAAAAAAGTGGTATTTCTATACATTAATTTTAAAGATTGATACCCAAAGCAAATATTTTTTTATAAATCTTACTTGATTATTAAATATTCTACATTGGAAATCTTACCACTAAAACAGCTTTTTATCAGGTTTATTTTCTATAACTGCTGTTTCTAGTTATGATAATAGGCAAGATCCGAAGGGCAACAACATTCAGAAGAGAAATATTTGGTTGTTGATATTATGACAGACTAAATTTATATTAGAACCTTACTTTGGAAAACTGATTCCGTTGTTGTACAGAGCTGATTTATCTCTACAGAGGGTTTCTCAGCAGAGGTATTTAAACTTTACTAGAAAGGAAAGAATCATCTGAATGTGTCCAGAAATCACGCAACTAAAATTAACAAACAATATAAACATTTCTTTTATCAAAACTATATCTTTTTAAAACACTTACTACAGACTATGCTGGCTGTTTGTTTACTCTGCGGACCTTTCTAGTGCCTGTCATAGGATCATACTTGGATAGTGGTCCACCAGTGAGTTCCAGAGGTGTACTATCAATGGTGACATTTCTACTACTGAATGCCTGTAAACAAGAGAAATGTTAACTGATGTATACCTATTTAATTTTGTAATTTTATTTACAATAACACTCATGCAGGTTTGTATAATATTCAAAAACATGAGCAAATCAAATATTAAAGTAAACATATAAAAGAAATAGGTCACAGTGATGCTTTCACAAAACAAAAATAAATATATAACACAGAGGACAACAGTATAGATTTATGTTTATAATGTGATATATCATATATTAAAAACTAGTTTTTAGTATTTGTTCTACATTATTTAAAAAAAAAATAGGTAAAGATACTGTAAAGCACTAGACTATTATTACATTGTTTTCATATTGTGGTTGTTTTTACAAGTGAGAAAACAAAACATGAACATGTCTAACTCTATCTTATTTAACTAACATGAAAAGACTAAATCTTTCTTAGTAGAATAAACTGTTTCCTAACAAATATATAAGTTTGAAGTGAAGTTTAATGATTATTATGTGTATTTGCTATATGCTTCCATTTATATCTGTCAATTGTGATACTGTGGTATGATCTATATTATACAACAACTATGCTGCCAATTAACGGACAGATCAATAAAGATCTATACCTAAAATGGTAAATTTAAAGTTATTTAATTAGTCTTAAACAATAATTAAATTAAAATATTCATATACTTACTGTTGTTTTAAGATTGGGCACGTCTGTTTCGTGAAAGAAGTCACTGGAGAAAAGGAAATGAAACTCCATTAACAAAATACAAACAACATATGCAAAGCTAAAAACCAAAATAATAGGTATTGAGGAAATAACTACCTTATGATGAACTACATAACAAAAATGTTACAACAAAAGTTACCTAAACTATGAATTCAGTGCTGAATATTATGCTATGATTGTCAAAAAACTAAAAATAATTTCCCTTGGAACTCCTTTTTTTTCTTTTCTTTTTTTATAGTTTTTCTTCAAAAAGCCACTATCACTTTTTTCAAAGGTAGTTCAAGCATATAATATCAGGCAGGCACGTGTTCAGTTATCAAAATTTTAATTATCAAATTATTGTTAAAGGGAAGGGGACAAATGGCCTCACAGTTAAGGTATCTGTCACTCAACCAAGACTCAGTTGTGATTCATGTCAGACTTTTATCAAACATAGCTTCCTACTATGATGCTAATACTAAAAAGTTGCAAGGCTTGTTTCACAATCGAGGATTATTATAATATTTATATGTTTAAACAATCCGCCCTCAATATGTTAACATGAATACATCATAAAATATTATTGAATCAAGAAGATTAATTAGACAGTTCACTCATAACAATTGCTAAGATTTATGCTCAACATTGTCTAGGCTGAACAAATAGAGAAATCGAAAAATCTTCATAGTGTAGCAAAGACTCCTTAATTTGCCCATTTCCTGCTTTATCACTGAAGCAAATTATACACATATAACTACTTACGATGTTTTATATTCATTTGGTATTCTTGAGGCTTCAACTGAATAATCTTGACGCTCTTTGGCAGCCTACAATACAATATATCAATTGATAGCATGAATTTCTTATATTACTAGAGGACTATGAGGAAAACAAAAACACAATAATATAACAAATAAGGAAAACTATCTAGATTTTATGAACATGTACTTTTAAAGAAAATATGTAGATACAACAAAACATCTTTCCTGTTTTTACCTGTTAACCACAGTTAATATACCTTTGATACCAAGAAAGATGAAGACTAAGTTTGTAATTCTGTTACATTTTCATTTATTCCAAACTGTATGTCCTTACAAGTAAACAATACTTTCAATTTAAAGTACCAAGCATAAAATGTTCTTCTTTCCCTGTTTAAACATTTCACTTAAAATATATTAAGCTGGTGTTGTACATGTCTACAGAGATATAAAAGTTACAAACCTTAAGAAGTTCATAGTTTGATGTCCTGGCAACATAATCAGAGAAGTCATTCAGTTGTTTCTCTTTCTGTCTGTAGTTTTCTCTAATCTGTAACAAAGAAACATATCCTCTATTGATACAAACTATTCCAACTGCCAAACGCCAGGTTAATTTAGTTCATACTAATTACATTCATAGTTTTTTTTTTATCATAGGATATAGTGTAAAACCATGTAGAAAAGAGAATTGGCACAAGTGAATTGTAATTTAATACTTCTGATAAAATATGCGCAATGGTAAACTCTACACCAGTCTTTTGCTAACAATTTAATAACAATAAGTAGCTATTACCGGTTATTAATTGAGTGGGGACTAGGGAGGGAGGACAACTTGTGGTCTGCAGATATAGTGTTGCACACCTTATTTTCATCAGAAATTTGTCATGCCTGGGATTCAAACTTCCTGAACCCATAGTATGTTACAATGAATACAAATTCTTAAATACCTGAATTTCTTGTTAATGAAAATCAAAATAAAATTGTCACTTATCATAAAATGAAAATAATTTTCTTAAAACCCATTTATACCTCAGCATAAAACTCTTGTTCATTGAGCACATCCTGACTTTGCTGGGCCTCCAGTAATTCTTGTTGAGTTCCAGCCACAATCTCTGCACGGTTCTCTATCGCACGAGAAATGGCTTCAACTGCCTCCATATCTGGTGTTGTTGGTCTGACCTTTTCCTGATCTAACTCTGACAAGATCTCTGTCCACACCTCACCCATCTACAACATAAAATACATATGATTTAAGAGAACACTGCTTATACCTCATCCATCCCCAGATAAATCCATTCCTGATATTCTAGAGTTGATATTTTTTATTGAGGTCAAACAATAATCATTTCATCAAGTGTAACTTTTATGTAATGACAATTTCAAAGATTCCTTATATTTTGTCATTACTTGTCTTTACAGTTTAAATGATTTATAAATGAGAAGTGAAACAATCCCATGACATTAAGCTCATCTGTTCTTAGTGTTTGAGCACAAATCAAGAGCAATGTACCTTCACCAAGGGAAACATTTCAGCAAAAATCTCACAAAGGGAAACAATTCAGCAAAAATCTATGCAAGAGTTATAGATACAATTTCAATAATGATATACTAAGAGTATCCAATATGGTGTCAGACTGGTCACAGATTTACATGTAAGCCTGTCTCAATACTGGTACTTTAATGCTGCTAGCGATTTCAATCAATATACATGTGACAGTTTAAATCCCAAGGGAGATTTTTTTCCAATTTTTCAATTAATATTACTGATTTTCAAATTTTTTTTTCTGTAAAAGTATGAATATATGAATATTCAGCAACATTCTATCACTTTTTTTCCCCAAGAAATACAACTGACCTTGAAGTCGAGGTATTTTTCAATGACAGTAAGAGTAATGTGGTCTTCAACAGTCAACCCAGGTAAATCTGTAAACCCTGTAATGATAAAAACAGACTCAATGTAAATAAAGCACATTTTCAAGTGCTGATGCAAACAATATAAAATCCAGTCTCATATACAAGAAAGTATTTTCCTTATCTTTAGTGAGGTCAAAACCAACATTTACTAAAATCTTACAGTGCATATATGGAACAGCAATTGTTGTGCATAAATAAGCAAACCATGTCACGGCAACTTTTTGCAAAGTTTAAAGCACATAGAATATTGAAGGTAACTAATTGTTTACCTATTTTACAATAAAGAGAGTATATTTTTGCCCGCATGTTTTCCGACACATCAACAATGGCTTGAGACATGCAATTGGCTGGCAGAGGTATTACACCTTGACCCTCTTGTAATTTTCCCATCAATGGTCGCCTTACATCTGAAAAAAAACATTGCAGAACTTTGAAAACAAGCAATTATCATAGTATTGCAAGCAATCCATAAGTCCCCTACCGGTTAGAACCCCATCAACATTCTGAAGGGCCACTGGCCATTCACTAATGTTTCAATTTTTCTCTATTTTAAGTAAATTTGTTGGAAAAGTTCTTTAAAAGTTATCACAGGAAACAGTTTTTATGAACAGACAGACAGACGGACTGAAGGACACTCTAAAGTTAATATTTGAAACATCCCTGTTACCAAAATTGAACATTTTAAAAAGCAAAATTCTTAAAGAGGAGATATTTCTCTAGAATTAAAGATGCAATTTCATAAAAATTTCAGCTCTTTTTGACTAATCACAAATAGTGTTATATTTGCCATGTTTTAAGCCTATTTGTTGCCAAGGCAACCAATATTTTTTCAAAATAGGAAAAACAGATAAGACATGCATAATCTCAAGACTGCCATCTACCCATATGTCAAGTTTCATAAAAATATTTCCAGTACTTTTTGAGTTATCACTGGATTCAGTTTATGTGTAAAATTTGCCATATTTTCAGTCTATGTGTTGCCATAGCAACCAGAATTTTCAACATAGGAAGAAAAGAAAAAGACGTGCATAATCTCCAGACTGCCATCTACACATATTACAAGTTTCATAAAAATATTTCTATTACTTTTTGCGTTAACACTGGATCCAGTTTATGTGTAAAAATTGCCATATTTTCAGTCTATTTGTTGCCATAGCAACCAGAATTTTCAACATAGGAATAAAAGAAAAAGACGTGCATAATCTCCAGACTGCCATCTACCCATATTTCAAGTTTGATAAAAATATTTCCAGTACTTTTTGAGTAATCACTGGATCCAGTTTATGTGTAAAATTTGACATATTTTCAGCCTATTTGTTGCCATAGCAACCAGAATTTTCAACATAGGAACAAAAGAAAAAGACGTGCATAATCTCCATACTGCCATCTATCCATATATCAAGTTTCATAAAAATTCTTTCAGTACTTTTCAAGTTATCGCGGGATCCAGTTTTGTGGACGTACGGACTGACGGACAGACAGACGGACGGACAGACGGACGGACAGACAGACAGACGGAGGGTAAACCTAAAGTCCCCTCCGGTAAACCGGTAGGGGACTAATTATTTCTTTTTTATTTATATACCAGAATTATTATTATTGTTCCACTAATAAATTCTAAATATGCATGCAGCTATAGTATGTCATTTATGAAAATACAGAATTATGATTAAAATGCTGTTTTATAAAATCATGTTTCTCTCTGAACTCTGAAGTATCTGAAACACTAATAATAAATCTTAAATAAGTGTTGCCCATGTAAAAAATAAAGTTGGAATAAAATCCGTAATATATAATACAATTTCTCTAAAAAATGTCACATCAATGTTTCAATAAAAATAATAAAACCTACCAGAAATAGCGCCATTTGGGTCTCGTTTAACACCAATTTCTCTTTCTTCATTTCTCCAAATTTCACAGAAAAGGTGAGCAGCGGAGATGTTCTCATGACCTCTCCAGGTCAGTACATGATGGACAGTCTTTGGATTCTCACATAAATCCAGGAGACAACCTAGTATCAGGTTATCCATACCTTTTGGACATTGCTAAATAAAAAGAATAATGTTTTACTGTATGCAGAATTTATTTTAGGTTATTTAGTATATTTTAGGAAGCTGAAAGCTTATAGACAACTAGTACTGATCAATAAATGTAAAGTCTCTTGCTAAAAAAAAAACCAAAAACAATGGCTTGCCACTAAATACGGGTTGAACCCACACAATTAGCGCACCTTAGATTACTAGACTGATGTGTTAACCACATAGTGATGATTTATACATACCGGTATGATGTATGTAAATTATCATATCATACAGAAATGTATCATTGTTTAAAGTTAAAATTGTAAAAATGAAAACCAGAACCATGAATTTATAATTATTTTAAACAGTTTTATATAGAAAAAGACAGGTATCATGATATAATAAAATCCTAATTTTCAAGAATAACCAATAAAACTTTTACACATGTAAACAAGTCTAATTAAGTGAAATAAAATGTTGAAAATGGAAAAAAAAAACATTATTTGACAGGTCATTTTTATACTTAACATGACTGTGTAATATAAACAGATATGTAATGGTTTCATTACATTGAGAATAAGTGAATATCAAATATATCTCAATGGAGCGAGGGGATGGGGAATAATCAAAATGAAGTTATATGCTGAGAAACAATTTAATACAGAGTATAAAGTGAAGTGTGAAGTGGGCAGATAGATTATTATCAAATACTATATTTTATCTAACAATTTACTTTATATAAAGTTGAATAAAATAATTACCTGTAAAAGGTCAATAAGCAGGAAAACTCCTTCCTTCTCTAGAAAATAATCTTCTGTTGCATAGCAACCAACAATAGCACACCTGTAAAACATTTATACAATATACACTAGCAGCCATAAATAACATGTCTGAAATCTGTTGATAAAACAAACATAACTAGAAATGTGTCCATAGGACACGGATGCCCCCAAAAAGAATAATGTTTTACTGTATGCAGAATTTGAGCCACGCTATGACAAAACCAACTTACTGCGTTTGCTACCAGCATGGATCCAGACCAGCCTGCGCTTTCGCGGATCAGGATCCATGATGTTCGCTTACAAACCATATAACAAATAGAGAATCTGATGGCCAACAGCATGGATCCTGATCAGACTGCGCGGATCCATGCTGGTCGTAAACCCATTATTTGGTTTGTTTTTGGGAGTTTCATTTTTTTTAGGTTTTTTATTTATTTTTGGGAAAGCTAAAGGGCTTTTTAAAAGACAACTAGAAATTTTGATCAAAAATGTAAATTTTCTTGTTTAAACAAAACAAAAAAAAGGGCCCTTTAAACATAAGGGTTTTGAACCCATACAACTAGTGCACCTTAGATTAATAGACTGATGTGTTAACCACATAGTGATGATTTATACATACTGGTATGATGTATGTAAATTATCATATCATACAGAAATGTATCATTGGTAAGTTAAAAGTGTAAAACCATGAATTTAGCATTATATTTTATAGCATTAATTTATTTTTAAAGTTTGTCCGGACTACTTCTCTTATACCACTAATGCAATTTCAATGAAACTTTACAGGATTGATCTGTAGCTCAAGTCCTTGCGCATATTGCACAGGTTTTCCCGTTGAATGATTTTTGGCTGAGTTATGGCCCTTTGATAACAAGAGCACCGCTAGGCGGAGCATTATATGCCCGAAAGTGTTTTTTTTTTTTTAGTAAGGATGAAGCATTTGTAAGACATGGAATTCGCTGTTCATCCTATAAAATTTACAGCTGTAGGTTGATTAATACTTAAGTTATTAATAATGACCTTAACCTTTGACCTTGTGACCCCTAAATCAATAGGGGTCTTCTACCCTTATACAGACAATCATCCTAAGAAGTTTGAATATTGTGGGCCAATTGGAACTTTAATTATGCTCTAGAAACTGTTTTCAGTATTAAGGTAAAAGTGACTTTGACCTTTGACCTTGTGACCCCAAAATCAATAGGGGTCTTTCTGCCCAATATGGACAATCATCCTATGAAGTTTGAATATTGTGGGCCAAATGGAACTTACGTTATGCTCCGGAAACTGTTTTTGCGTTTTAAGGTAATTGTGACCTTGACCTTGACCTAGTGACCCCAAAATCAATAGGGGGTCTTTTTGCCCAATATGGACAATCATCCTATGAAGTTTGAATTTGTGGGCCAAATGGAACTTACGTTATGCTACGGAAACTGTTTTTTGGTTTTTAAAGGTAATTGTGACCTTGACTTTGACCTAGTGACCCTAAAAATCGATAGGGGGTCTTTTGCCCAATATGGACAATCATCCTATGAAGTTTGAATATTGTGGGCCAAATGGAACTTAAGTTATGCTCCAGAAACTGTGTTCAGTTTAAAGGATATAGTGACCTTGACCCAAGTCCTTTTGACCCCAAATCAATAGGGGTCTTCTACCTAATATGGACAATCATCCTATGAAGTTTGAACACTGTGGGCCAAATGGAACTTCAGTTACGGAAACTGTTTCCAGTATCAAGGTAATAGTGACCTTGACCTTTGACCTTGTGACCCCAAAATCAATAGGGGTCTTCTACCAAATATGGACAATCATCCTATGAAGTTTGAACATTGTGGGTCAATTGGAACTTAAGTTATGCTCTAGAAACTGTTTTCAGTATCAAGGTAATAGTGACCTTGACCTTTGACCTTGTGACCCCAAAATCAATAGGGGTCTTCTACCCAATATGGACAATCATCCTATGAAGTTTGAACATTGTGGGTCGAAAGGAACTTAAGTTATGCTCCAGAATCTGTTTTCAGTATCAAGGTAATAGCGACCTTGACCTTTGACCTTGTAACCCCAAAATCAATAGGGGTCTTCTACCTTATATGGACAATCATCCTATGAAGTTTGAACATTGTGGGTCAAATGGAACTTAAGTTATGCTCCGGAAACTGTTTTTAGTTTTAAGGTCATAGTGACCTTGACCTTTGACCTTTTGACCCCAAAATCAATAGGAGTCTTTTACCCAATATGGACAATCATCCTATGAAGTTTGAACATTGTGGGCCAAATGGAACTTAAGTTATGCTCCGGAAACCAAATTGCTAACGGACAGACAGACAGACAGACAGACAGACAGACAGACATACGGACGCCAGGGGTATAACATAATATGCCCTTTCGGGCATATAAAAAGATGTTTTTTTCTGTGTGTTGCCAGATACACAAAAGCTTGTCCGGACTATTCCTCATAAACTACTGTTGCAATTTCATCCAAACTTTACAGGAATGATCAGTACCAAGTCTAGTTGTGCATAATGTCAGCATTTTCAGGTTTAATGCTTTTTGTCAGAGTTATGGCCCTTTAATAATTTTTATTTTTAAAGTTTGTCCAGACTACTTCTCTTATACCACTAATGCAACTTCAATGAAACTTTACAGGATTGATCTGTAGCTCAAGTCCTTGCGCATATTGCACGGGTTTTCTGGGTGAATGATTTTTGGCCGAGTTATGGTCCTTTGATGAAAAGGTGTTTTTTTCTGTGTGTTGCCAGATACACAAAAGCTTGTCCGCACTACTCCTCATAAACTACTGGTGCAATTTTATCCAAACTTTACAGGAATGATCAGTACCAAGACTAGTTGTGCACTGTCCGTCTGTTTGTCCGTCTGTCACAAAACTTGTCCCAACATGAAATTGGCCATCATGAGGCGACCAGGTGAACACTGATCGCTCTTGTTATACACAACATGACTGTGTGATATAAAAGATATGTAATTGTTTCATTACATTGAGAATAAGTAAATATCAAATATATCTCAATGGAGCGAGGGGATGGGGAATAATCAAATAAAGTCATATGCTGAGAAATGATTCAATACAGAGTAGAAATGATTCAATACAGAGTATAAAGTGAAGTGTGAAGTGGACAGATAAATTATTATCAAATACTACATTTTATCTAACAATTTACTTTATATAAAGTTGAATAAAACAATCACCTGTAAAAGGTCAATAAGCAGGAAAACTCCTTCCTTCTCTAGAAAATAATCTTCTGTTGCATAGCAACCAACAATAGCACACCTGTAAAACATTTATACAATATACACTGCATCCATAAAGAAACTTGACTGAAATCTGTTGATAAAACAAACACAAAAAATGTGCTCTCTCACAGTTAAGACTCAATACTGTTAAACTTGTATATTTTGACATTTAAATCCCTCTTTGCTTTAAAGTTTAAAATACAAAAAGCTTATTACATAAATTTGTTAGGATATGGGCAAAGTATAGGATTTCGAAAAATAAAACAAGCGTCATATCAACAAGAGCTGTCGGTAGGACAGCAACGCTCGACTATTCTTAGTGCTTGATAGTAAAAAAAATGCTTGATACAGTTACCTCCTCCTGTTTACAGGTTGGGGTCATGATGGTGAACAAGTGTGCAAAGTTTCAAAGCCATATGTCAATGGACTTTGAAAATATTTGAACTATTACAAAAACTTTAACGTAAATTCTAAGTCGAAAAAGGGGCATTATTCTGACAAAATGCTTGATAGAGTTACCTCCTCCTGTCTACAGGTTGGGGTCATGATGGTGAACAAGTGTGCAAAGTTTCAAAGCCATATGTCAATGGACTTTGAAAATATTTGAACTATTACAAAAACTTTAACGTAAATTCTAAGTCGAAAAAGGGGCATTATTCTGACAAAATGCTTGATAGAGTTACCTCCTCCTGTCTACAGGTTGGGGTCATGATGGTGAACAAGTGTGCAAAGTTTCAAAGCCATATGTCAATGGACTTTGAAAATATTTGAACTATTACAAAAACTTTAACGTAGATTCTAAGTCAAAAAAGGGGCATAATTCTGTCAAAATGCTTGATAGAGTTACCTCCTCCTGTCTACAGGTTGGGGTCATGATGGTGAACAAGTGTGCAAAGTTTCAAAGCCATATGTCAATGACTTTGAAAATATATTTGAACTATTAACAAAAACTTTAAAACGTAGCATTCCTAAGTCGAAAAAGGGGGCCATAATTCTGTAAAAATTGCTTGATAGAGTTCCCTCCTCCTGTCTAACAGGGTTGGTGTCATGATGGTGAACAAGTAGTGCAAATTTCAAAGCCATATTATGTCAACTGGACTTTGAAAATATTTTGAACTATTAAAAAAATTTTTAACATAAGGGGGTTACCCCGACCCCCGGACCTCGGGTGACAAACAAAGTTTCTACTTATTCTTATCGAAAAATTTCGAGTTTAAAAATAAACAAGTTCATTCCCCAAACACATTCAAGGGCCATTTTAAAAGAAGTCTGGGTGTCCAAGACCGTTTGTTGTTTAATTTTGGATTTGTTTTCAGAAAATTTGTACACACACATTCACTCCCCCCTTTCTCCAAAAAATTTCCTAAAACCAAGATTTTATTCATTTGTTTTTTTAAAAGTTTTTTGTAAAATGCAGGTGTCTTTTTGTCGCACCTTTCCCTTCTATCCTCAAAAATGGGGGGAATAGAAAGGGAAAAATTTTTTTCAGGAAAGTTTTTTTTCCCACTTTTTTTTGGGAAAAAATTATGTAAATTTCCTTTTTTTAAATTTGCCCAATAAATCCAATATTTCCATGCCAAGTATTAAATTTTTGGGCCATATGAAAGATGTTAGCTTTCCATAATCCTTCATTTATTACAAAACAGGGGAAACCAAGAAGCAATTTCCAAAATATTGATTGTTCAACATTTTAAGGAATATCTTTAAATTTTTTGAAAATATTTCCCTTAGTTTCAGGTTTTTAAAACCAGTTTATTCACTAAACTTCTTTTAATTTTTAAAAAAGGGATTAAGTTTAAAGCAGCATGCCCCAATGAATGCCTAAAATTTTTTTTAAAAAAATTTTAAAAAGTATTTAAAAATAAACATTGGGAAGTTTAACATTTTAAAGTAAATTACAAATTGCAAAAGCGAAATTTCAATTACGTTTAAAAATTTTCCAAAAAGAGGTCAAAAAATACAAAATACCTTTTTACTTTCCCCTTTGTAACGCAAAAAAGAAATTTTAATAATTTATTTAAAACAAAATCAGTTTTTATTCGCACAAAAGTATGTAAATTTAATTTAATTTAATATTGAATCTTTTTTCTTTTTTAAGATCCATATACATTTTTTTAAAAATTAAATTTCTTGAAATATTTTGGCTCATTTTGGGGGCCTGCAGCTTTAAGATAGAATCTCACCTTTTCTATGCATATCAAACCCTTTACAGAGACATGGGCAGTATCATCATCCCTATTTAGACTGCATTTCCAAAAAATCTTTTTTGCATCATCTTCTTTTGTTTCTTTTTTTTATAGCATTTTTTCAAAAAGGCTGCAAAAATGTTATTTAAACCCTCAAAAAATGTAAACAAAAAACCAAAAAAAATACTATAAGAAAGGAAGAGTTTAAAAAGTCTTTTGGTTTTCATTTAAAACCTATACTTTTAAATTTTAAAAACAGAAATTTAATAAAGGTAACACATTAATGTTATTAATATTTTGCATCTGATACCTGTGCAAGTACAGAAATATATCACAAGAAAACATTAGTTAATGAATGTTTTTATAAAATTGATGTGACAAAGTAAGAATTTATATGATAAAACTATTACCACTTTTTGATTGAAAGTTTGGTTGGATTTTGAGCTAAAAAATAGTGTTTCAATGTATAGAAAAAATGTAAAATATTAAAATCCTAAGGACTAATTAAATATATCAGACAGAAACTTGAAGAACATGTCTCTGAGGCATAAAAATATTCTAATTATGACCAGATTACTGAAATACATACTTATAATCTGATTGATAGCCCCCTGATCAGCGAGGTCCTGTAATGCTAGTTCATCTCCAGTAGATACTACACTACGTAAAACACGAAGACAGTAACGCATCTGTGCTCGCTTGTTACCACGGCCACCAACACCATGTATACTGTTACCATGACCTCCAAAATCCTCTACAATGATGGCAAAAAACAAAACTTTAAGGACTTTAATAGACTTCCATGATTGTTAGACAACGTTATTCATTTTTTTAACTAACCATGCTGGTTAAACCAATATTTGTATCATATGGAAAAAAAAACCTGTAGCAGTGACTCCCGCTAGTTACTAGAATCAACATCCCTGGATTGAAAGTTAGATATCTGCACAGTTACCATTTTATATCAATTTAATTAAGCAATGTCAATTTATATATTTTTGTTATCTCCTTAACTGAAATCATCATGTATATACATCATGATAATAATTAATATACGAAAAATTGCAAAGAAAATATTTTAAATAATTCTGGGCAATATAAGAAGAAATGATATATAAATTTAGGATCTACACAATCATTTACCTAATAAATGTAAAAGTATTTTTTGTATATAGAAACTATTAGTTATATAAATAATATATATAATAAATTTATTACAGCTCCAACAAATGCCTTTTTGACAAGATGTTACTATTTCATGACAGACATAAAAGAATATTGTTTCCACACTATTAATTTAGATAATCATTATAAATACTTAACCATAACCAACTTAAAACTATTTACAAACAAAATGATTTATTCAAACTAATGTGCCTGTACCATTTGAATGTATGTACAAAGAAAATTAATCAAAAATCTACAACATAACCTTTGCTTATTGCTAGAAAAATATCCTGTGCCTTAAAAAAATGTTTACAAATACCAACATGTCACTTCTTGTTGCAAAATATTTTGAAATCATAAAAGTTCTACAAAATATTTTCCCATAAAACCGAAGTATTATAATATATAAAATTGCTACATTAATTTACCAGCGTTTTCATCAAACATGCTAAAACTGATCATAGACATGTCTCTCTTATATGTGTATGTTACTGAAAATAAATAATGACCATATTTCATACGTCTTACACAAACACATAACTGTCCTCTAGCAGAAAAAAACATACCATTTATTGCAACTTCATATCACAGTAAAATGAACACGAAAACCTTCAAATTATTCTCTTTACATTTTGACTTCATAAAAAATGAATAAATTGTATTGATACCTGCTCCCACACACCATTCCAGTAACAGTAGGATTCTAGTACTGCCCTGTACTGTCATATAATCCTCTAACATCTTCGGGCATAGAGCACATAAACATGACATGGCTTGAAGTTGTAGTTCCTCAAATTGTGCTGGTGTCCATTCCCTGGGGCCAGACTGACTCTCATTGGCTCTCACAAATGAAAACAGAGCCAACATCAAATGACCCTCTGATAATATCTGGAACAAAGACAAAATAATATCTTTAAGACAGTTGTTTCTATAGAGTCTAAAAAAATAAACAAAACATCTTCAATTTAAAAAAAAAATCCAAAATATTTTCAAACTCTAGTTTTACTTTAATTCAAATATAGACTTTAAAACTTTCAGTTTTGAACTGGACTTTTTAATCAATGGTGTGTGTACATTTTAGAAAATAGCCTGCGTCATCATGCAAGGCATAAAAGGCCTAAATGATCTTAACTTAACGTTAATTAGGAAATATACTCATATACTTAAACCATTAGAAATCAAAATGACTTCAGACTGAAAAAAACAAACTTTTGTATTTCAGCATAATAATTTATTTATGTAACAACTACAAGACTTACAGGTAAAACTGTAGATTCTTTACTCAATGTAACCATGATATTAAACAGCATTTTCTTCAACTCAAAGTCTTCATGATTCTGCATCAACTTCAAATGTTTAACCAAAGCATTATGGCTTTTTACTGTAAGAAAATAACACATATGTAAAATTCAAGATATTAATTATTAAGCTGCCTTCCCATCTATATATCCCATATATAAATGTATTTATAAAGATTGACACTAGACATTTTACAAGCACCATCCCTCTATCTTAAAGCATGCAGCTTTAAAAAGACTTGTCTATCTTTCAATCGAAACAAAACCATTCATCATTTTTAGGGATTTTTTTAAGTAAGTACTGCCTGGGGCACAAGTTTGTTGGCTGATCTTGGTCTACACTGGTGGCATGGGTAGAATCTGTTGCTGACAGCAGGCTGAAGGTTAATGACTTTTTTTTCATAACTCTATTGAATTACCGAGATGAAGTGAAAAAGCAGAATACATAAATACATACCTTCTTGAAAGGTTGCAAACAAGACTAATTGTTTAGCAAATCCTGTCTCGACAAATGGTGCATCAGGACATTTGCTTGCTACAATAGACGCAAGGACAAGTAAATCATTTCTCAACTGTCTGTCATAATGACTGTAGCCTTGTGTTAATTGGTAGATAAATGCATCACGAAGTTGACTGAAAAAAAAAATAAAGATGTACCAATGCTTTTACAAAACTCAGAAGTGTAGCATACCCTCAAAATACATTTAATTATGGATTTATTTCATCAAGAACCTCATATGAAGAAAGTAACATGTAATGCACAACTTCAAGACAATAATCTTTGTGTTCCCACTTGACTCGCAGATTACTAAAATTTTCATAGGAGGTGCCTAGGTTTGGAATGACTTGACTAATTTCTGTTAGCTATGATAAGGTACATGTACGTTATTGAAAGAGAGATGACCTAGTGGTTAAGGTATGTGTCCTTCCATAAAAGACATAATGAGTTCAAGTCCTACTTTAGTCCTCTAATAACACAAATTCTGATCAGTTCAAGTAAAACAAACTTTAGAGTGGTCCAAATAAACTTAAAGCTTTCATCACATCCCACCTAAAATAAACTATAACTTAGGTCATGTAAATTGCAGTATAAATGTATATAAGGAAGGCACTTATACCTGATACATGTAAGGTTATTTAACTGTGAAGTTAAGGTAGCTTGATCTCCTTTCTCTAGCAAGTTCCATAAAATATCTGATGAGCGAAACAAAAGCTGTCCCGAGGGGTCGACATCCATTAAACGTGAACAGATACGATGTGCAGCATCTGCGCGTAGCATTGCCTCGCATATCTTCGCTGAAATATCAAAGTATTCTTCATTGTAACAAAATACATTTAGAAATACTGGAAATCGAATACTAAGAAAGAAAATAATTGAAATAATATGTAAAGTAATTAAAACATACATTTATTTTACTTCCAAAATCCTATACATAAAGTAAATTCTTACCAGATGTTTTAGAGAATTTCTGAAGCACATTCAGCACAGCTAGTTTGACTGGTAAATCTGTCTCCAGCAAGGTCAGGGATTTCACTAAAGTCTCTGCAATATCACTGTTCTCTACTACTTTTTGGTTGTATTGTATTGTTGATGCTTTGTGATCTATAAATATATTTTTTAAAAATCACGTAGGCCGAGAATTTTGACATCAAAACTATGACAAATTGTAACAATTGATTGCTCTTTTATCAATCATCATTGCTAATTAATAAGGTAATGTTGATAAAATATAAAAACTTATTAAAACAGTATCAAAGGTGTAAAATCAAATTATGTTAGACAGATATTAAAATACTTGTACCTGAAAACTGGTACAAGTCAGATATCAAAATCTTATTTAAAAAAAAATTTGCTGTAATTTCAGTGATATCAAGCTGTTAAAAAAAAGACATCATTCTGGAGTTATAAACATGTTTTAAAGTCAACAAAGTGATTTTGAAAATCATGGATACTTACACTGAACTTCTTGGTTAGCTGGTGTTTCTGAATAAAAAGCTAATAATGTGTCGCAGATTTGTTTCCTCACTTCCACTGAAACCACTCGCATTAAATAACCTGAAATTAACAAATAAAATTTCTCAGATACCATTTTAACTTTACACAATTGAGCACAACATTGGAATTTAGGTGAATATTTAGAAGTCTTTGAAGATGCAGACAAACAAGCAAGAGAGAACTTTTATAAGACATGAGATTTTTATGTCAATACTTTTTACAAGTTGAATTATAAACCAAATCTACTATCTGATAACAAATATAATCATAACTGGAGAATTTGTAACTACATACGGAATAAAAAAAATTTAGTTTCCTACAAAAGGTAAGTTGACAGTTAACTGTCAATAATAGAAAGTCTACAACATACTGTCTCACCATACTAATTATGTTCCAAATGTTCAACATAGATATATTATACATAAGTTCTAACAAATGAACAAACATCTGCATACATACCAAGCTGAGAGATTGACTCTATCACAATCTGTTCATATATAAGTTCATCAGAAGATTTCTCCTTTAAGAAAGGCAGGCTGCAGATCTTCAGTATATCAACAATGAATTGTTCATATCGAGGTTGTTCATTGACACGATCAGCACATACATTCAATATTTTGAATACCTGAACTAAATCTTTCATTGGCTGTGAGTTGAGTTAAGTTTCAATATTTCAAACAATAATTGAACTTTCTGATAAAAGTTTATTTTTTATGAATATTTAAGAAATGCTCAAACTAGTGAAAATATTCTAAAGTGTTCAAATAAAGAAATTTTCATTTGAGGCATTTATATCCTACAGAAATTGTCTATCATCTGTTTGAATTGGCTATAATATACTTTACAAGTAAACAAAATAAAATAGTGATAAAAAATTTAAAGTCAGTCATTTTTTCCCATAAAAAAAAACATGCAAACTTACCCTGATACACAACACATTACTACTGAATACTATCAAACTATGTATTTACTTTAAGTGCTACGCCAAATAAAAGTTTTGATGATTGAGATTTAGTTACTTAATAAAAAAATGTGTCTGAGTATAAAGCGATGTTAACTGTAGGAAATATCCATCAGAGCATTTATAGATTTTTATTAAATGAAACTAAGTCCGCTATCACAAACAGTAACACTACTTTTATGATAGATTGTTAGATATCAACATTTATACAACATTTCACAAGAGATTCATTATTTTTAAAATGAGATTTAAGGATACAAATCCTTTTGGATAATGTCTCAGCAGTCGCTGTAATGCATTTACATGTCTGTCATACAGCATAGCCTGAAAAACGAAGTGAAGTTTAATTTTGATAGATAATAATAGTATCAATACAGTCATAGTCTCTATGGCAATTTTTCCGTGTCCAATTTAAAAGATGTTATAAGGTAACATTCAGTCAAAACATAATGCATTAATTAAATTTACTGATATATTGTAGTATTCAAAAATATTTACCTAAGCAATAAACAGATAAACTGTAAACTTTGCAATATGCAATTTTGCAGCAATTATGCATTAATATTACTAAACTAATAAGCAGGGTTCTGACAAGAATTGTGTATTTTCTTTAGTATATGTTGCTACTCGATCCTAGCAATGAGTGACAAATGGCATTTTTAACTTATGTATAAGTAATAAAAGAATAAACTTACAGAATGTGGATCTGTCAGCAACTTCACTACTCTGTTAAGATTCATTGCCACCAACTTAGATCCCTGAAATCAAATAAATACATATCACTTTATCTTTTATTATTATAATGGCATTTTATATAAATGTTTAACATTTTGATTGATCAGCTATCAGTATTAGCTAACATAAGACTGCTTATCTACTTCTAGTCTGTAGACGCTTGTCTCAAATTTTATTAGTTTCCAGTTATAAATTAAATAAAATTGTTTTTTTTTGAAAATTTAAATATACAAAATGACCTTTCCTCAAAATTGTATTTTTTCTATTTATTATCATACAATAAATTGATTGAAACATCTTTGTTTATGTTGTGTTTACACTTATATGTTTGAATATTTTATGACTGAAGAGTCTGACAGTCAAATATTATGGTGATTTGCAATAAAGCATGGTTTTTAAATAAAATTTCTTTATATTCTTTTATAATCAATTTCTTAATTTGATTTTATTGCTCCTAAACATTGTTTTGTGTTGACAATATTTACAAGAACATTGAAGTTGAAAATTCTGATGTTAAGTGCATTACCCAACTTCTTTCACTAGCTGTAGACCACTCAGGATTTCAGCATATCAAGCCATTATCTGATTTTAAAATAGATCTAAGTTATATATATGTCACGGTTCAGTGAAAGTGGCTGGATAGCTCTGACAGAGCCACAGTACAGTATTCTGAGGGTCCAGATTTGAGTCATATATGGTCAGGCTGCACATTTTTTTCTCACCCTGTGACATTGTTATATCAACATATAGATCTGCCCCGACACATGGTACTGTAGTGAGCACAATTTCCATACCCCAAAAACCATAACAGACCTCAAACACATGTGTCAGCATAATCGGAATTAAACATATACTCGAACCCCATGATACCGGTGACTCCACGGTACCGGTATATTCACAAATCTCGCGATATTTTTGTCAACACCACCTACCGAGTGTTTATATTGGCATGCTCCCAGTAATATTGGCTATTTCAAAGTTTTAAAACATTTTCATGAGTTTCTGAAGGAAATATTTCACATATCCTACCTTATTTTTATTTTACTATCCTATTTTTCCATTGCATAAATTAGTCTCTCTACAAAACACATTTTTTTTCCAAGAAAAATAAAAACTGACAGGTGCTGACGTCATTCAACCTCCATTACATGTCACTTGACCTTTTGAACATCATTTTTGGCGGGAAAAAATTAATCTATGGAAAGCCATTAGTGCATATAAAATAGTTTATGAAAATTAAAAAGTCAGTTTCATTCAGTCTTTTAAGGGAGCCTGTGTAAAGTGCCATATTTGATGTTTTATCTTCATCATATAGAAATAAAATTGATTCAATGATACAAAAGGACCAGACAATCACAACAACACTAAAATTAAGTGAGGGGGATTTTTGAATCCAGCCACATGGTATAATAATATACACCTGTCATTGGGAGAAAAAGATTCTAAAACAGAGATCCTTGGTGTCATAATGACTGTCATAATATTATGAAACACACTTATATGTTTTTTAGCTTTTTCGAATATAAAGAATTTTTACAGAATGCTAAAATGAAAAATTTTTGTGCCATTATATCATGCTGCAATGCTCATAAAAATTTAAGCTACATTTTTTAGCAGTGCAACCGTAGCATTAAGAGTCTGTTTAAAATGACTATAAATTAAATGGTCAAAAACCAGTTATTACATTCGAATGAAACAGATTTTAAGTAATCACAAACTTCGGGAAAATGTTAATTACAGGTTTGAAATTCAATGCAAAAGGTTTTCCTTCATTTTTTCAATCAGTAAATTTTTTAATTGAAAAAGATTGAAAAAATATGTACATACAATCGTGACGAACAATGGGCCTAACTAGATGTTCAGTTTGGAAAGAAACTAGCTGTCAAATTTCAAGGTCTATCTAACTTTAAAAGTGTGAAATGTATGTGAAACAATTATCAAAAAGTGTTTGGTTGATGGTCCCTAATCATTAGCGCACCTGTAAAGCGCCAATGTCTTCGTCAGTGATGACATGTGTAACAACGGGCACTGTTGGTTTACTCTCCATCATTCCCGTTGAAGTTGCAAACTTTTCGGTTTGCATCGTCTGTAACGCTGCCATTATCTTTCTATTTAAAAAGAACAGAAACTTCTAAAAATACAGTATTTTCACTGATGTGCCTGTACAAATATATTAAAAAGACAGTTTGTGAATATTTAAGCCATTATTTTCTTTTTTATCCAAATCCAAAAATGACAACATCCGCCATATTTTATGCGTTGCTATGCGTTACGTGCATTATGGGAAGGAATCAGACGGGTTTAATTTTTAGGATACAATAATATATCTTTGACTTTGCTAATTATCGTTGTGGTCGTAAATTTTTTGAATATTAAAAAAAACTTCATTTACGAAAGGTAACATAATAATATTGATAAGTATCTTCATAGAAACCTTTCTTTGGTACATTATATGTTAGTTAAGGACAGAAATATATGATCAGTGCTTTGTAATATCTTTAAAAAAGTCAACCTGTAATTGAATAGCGGCTGCTCTTGTAAGGTTGTCGAAAAAAAAATATGACAAAGTTCCTTGTTCTACAATATTGTCGTATAATCTCCTAAATGACTGGTGAAAATGCTTTAAGTGAATTCTGTAAATATAAGCGAATATGACTACTTTAGGCATTACTTTTAGTTCCTATTGTCAGCTTCAAGTAGCTTTTAATTTCTTGTGACTACTTAAGAAAAAACATGCGCTGATGGGGTACTTCATTGCCAAAGAAAATAATATTTGAGGAGATTGGAAGCGCGAGTCGTCGCATAGAACTTCTAGAAGATAACTGCAAGCACGGATTTATATTTGTAATATAAATCCGTGCTGCAAGGCAAGTTGCTATCTTGTTAATGCTTTTTGTTATATGCTCTAAAATAGCTGCGATCTCATTGGTGCAACTGATAGCCAACAGAATAAATTATAAAATCATATTTACTGAGTGTAGTATCATATTCACTTTTCCCAACCTTAAATAGAATCAGGCTCATATTAAATGACCATACGGCAAGGACTATTAAATACGTATGAGTGAAACATATTCACTGGGTGTGCAATGTTACCATAGGCTGAATTGAATTCCCTATCTTAAATTAGAATCAGACTCATATTTAATGACCATACAAATATAAGCTGTCAATTGCTTGTATGTAAAACAAAATGTATTGATGAGGCATTTTGTTCTTTATGGCACAACTCGCAATGAGCTTCAATTTCAAAATTAACTTCTTAATTAACAATAATAGTTAAAAGTTACACCGCAATGATGAACTTTTTGATCACTCTTGTTAAAAAAAAATTGTGCAGCGTTTGAGTAGCCATAAAACGTCTGACGTCATCTTCACCTAATGAGCGTTGGTTCAATATTGAATTTTTTGGACGAGTTGAATAAAAATTATATTATGCGAGCCTTTTGCTCGTGCAATACCATTTTTGTGGAGTCGCAAAAAGTGGTATGGGTATGTGAAAAAAAGACTATAAATGATGTATTGAATGTGGCGTGATACTAGTTAACCGTTTAATTAATGTTATATTGACCAGGGCAATAGCTTCAATGGCTTACTAGTCAATATTTGTATATTATCACATAAACAGCGGCGCAGGAGTGTAATAAAGCCATTTAAGAAAAACAATATTACACTAGTGTAATAACACTTTGACGTGACGTCATTTGCACTATATATAGAGGATATTTGTTAGTTTTGCATGTAAGATTGAAATATAATTTCACTGAGTGAACACCAGATGCAATATTTTCACGAGTGGCGTAGCCACGAGTGAAAATATAATAGCTGGTGTTCACGAATGAAATATATTTCAATCTTATATGTAAAACAAATAAATTTTCTTTTTATTTCATGCTTTTTAAGTGATTTTAAGTATATTTTTTACTGATTTTGCCGTGTAACGTCGCGCATTCTCCTTCGTGACGTCATCACATCATGACGTCACATTATCAATTTTGAAATATAGTTCTGTTAAATTTCTCTAATTTTGCTTCATTTCTAACATGATGTATGGTGACATCGACTTTCTTTTCCTAAAGAAGCAAAATTTACGTATGACGGCACTTATTTCAGTCTGTTGTTCCATTTAGTTTAATTTTCTTTTCATCCACATTCAGATATAGTCCGGCTACAGTGAAAATTATATTTTATAAATTTCACTAGTGGTTTATCAGAATATAATCATCTGATATATTACAATAAAACACTGGAAAGCATGAAATAAATACACATAGCGTTAAAGCGCGCTAATGTTAGCGTTACACTATAGGCGCGTCAATAAAAATTGACACTTTTAACTTTTTACCGCTCTTATTTTATATATGTGATAAATAGAATATTATATTCGTGTAGATTTAATACTAAAGTTATTGAACTCGTTCAATAAAACAATATTATGCTCGCCAGAGGCTCGCATAATATGATTTTATTCAACTCGTTCAATAAATTTAGTATTAAACCTACACTCATTCAATATCCGCTATGTATCTACGTGCAATTATTTGTAAAAGTTAACCAGTTTAATTTCAGGAATAGTTGTAAAGATAGCGTTATATAACTGGTTTACACAATGTAATCCTTGCTGCGCGATTTTCAAATTCAGTTTTTGTCACCAGTACTCCATATAATACAAATATAATCAAAACGAAGTAAAACATACTGGTAGGCATTGTAAAACATTTCTTTTATTCGGCGGATAAAAAGTACGATATTTTTTCAGAGACGTAGATAACTGTTTTTTACATCACTGCTTTTATAGGAGGGAAATTTGTTTTTGTAATTCATTACAGACGTGCTTTCTTTATATATTCCATGTTAAGTTTTAATCTAAATATATACCTGATAAATTCTGTGATTTCGTTTGACATACATGTAGGCATAAGAGCTGAAATATATTTTTGGTGGTTCAAATAGAACTTCAAAATAATATAATAATATTTTTTGTTGAAATTGGAAGATACCCATGAAATGAAAATAACAAAATACTTCAACGGGCTTTAATTAATGTATTTTACAAACATCATTGATATAACTCTGCATGTCAAAACAGCTTCTTAATATTTAAATGTTCCGAACATTAGCATCAGCTCCGTTCATTTTATAATGTCGTTGTTGTCTTTAAATACGCGATTGTTTCTATATTGTTACTTCTATGATATTGATAATTCATTTGTATTGCAAGTCATAGTCAAGATTTAATTATGTCTTTTAAGACGAATTATATATATCTCTCTATCCTACATCATGTGTGGTGCACTCATTGCACCCTTTCAAGTATTATTTAATGATGATTTCATGTCTAAATAGGCTATTTAAATATTGAAAACAGAGTTAAACAACTGAGACTTAATCATATGCATAAGATTTTTTATGATAAGTGTCCAACTTATATGAAAACAAATTTTGTTCGGATGTCTGATATACACAACTACAACACTAGATCAAATAAGTTTAATTTTTCAATTCCTCTTTGCAATAAGACATGTAATAGCACCTTTTTCTCTAATGGTATTAAAGATTGAAATAGTTTGCCAGATGATGTACAATGTATATCAAATCCAACTTTATATAAAAATTCTGTTAAAAGCCATCTTGCTTCAATATGGGCTGCGCAACATCAAAGTGATTTTTATATTACTAAGTGGCGACATAGGTTCGCCAAACTTTATTGTTTTTTAGTTATCTTATTTTTTCCTGTGCCTTTCTTTCTGTGATAATGCAAACTACTGTGATTGAATAATTTGAAGGTTATCTTATTGTCTACTTTTATTTGAGGAATGAATGTCTCTCTGGTTTCATCTTGTTTCCATCTATTTGGTTAACAGGACCCCATTGGAAATAAGCACACCAGCTTAATGGGCTATCCTTGTAACCATAGATCACTATTTAACAAAACCTTTGTATTGAAATTTTATTGAAATTCTTTTATTTCTTTTATATCATGTTTATCAGTAACTTTAAACAATATTCTGTGATAATTATAATTCTGACTATTGTAGTGTCTTAACCTGAAATGTGATTTTATTAATTTATTCATTTGCTTCTTTTTTTAAATACATTTATCCAATGCCTCATCTGATCTCAGTCATTAACTAAATTTGTTTTATTTATTATTAATATGAAATGATATTTTAATTTGGATAAACTTTTATTTTATATATATATATCTTATTATGTAACTGTGATCTATGTTGTTGCTAAAATAAAATAAATAAAAATAAATAAAGGCTCATAATTGGAAATAAAATTTATTCCCTTCTGGTATCACAATTTGAGTGTTTTGCTTCCTTTTTGTTACTTTGCTACTTAAGCATAAAGTCGATGGATTAAATGATGAAAAAGATTTATTTTTTCGTCTACAATTTATACTTTTTGAAACCAGTCTAACAGGTTTCCATTTCCGCCGAATTCTGTATAATCAGGAAGCCAGTAAACTTTTCGTTTTCTCGAATTTTCCGAGCTTGGTATCAATATTCAACCATGGCAAACCTTAGCAGAAGCGATCTTGTTGTTTTTGCTAAGCTCGCAGAAGATGCCGAGAGATATGACGATATGGCAGAAAAAATGAGGAAGGTTGTAGAAATGAATGAGCCTCTGACAAACGAGGAAAGAAATTTATTGTCGGTTGCATACAAGAATGTTGTAAGTTTTATAAAGCTTTTACTTCTCTGTTACTTATAATTTTCACAGTATGGTGTCCATTATAACCCTTTTTATATCGCACAATTCGTACTAGCACACTAGTCACTTCTTGGTTTTACATTAACGAAGAAGGACCAAAGAGATCTGCTATATGGTTCTTGTGAGACCTCTGGTGGAATACTCCTCTATCATCTTGGACCCATTCACTGAAGCAAATATCTGGAAACTGGAGATGGTGCAGCGCCGAGCGGCAAGAAATTGAAGAGTGGTCTTCTTAGACTACAGAAGATCTAGTCCAATAGATTAGACGTTACAGGCTTGTTATAGTTTTATGTTGGTCAAGCCTGACGTCTAATAGTTATTGCTCAAAAACGCGTAGCATTTTGAAAAATTAAAAAAATGTCTGTTGACTAGCCTTTCAAGCTTTATTCAAAAGCTTATCTTCTGTTCTTTCAATTGCATGGTCTATCATTAACAAAAACTTTCAAATAATGTACTTATCAATTAAAACTAAAATATAAATATCAGTCTATTTCGCTCATCCGCCATACTGGTTAAGTAAAGGGTTTGACAGATTGATTTTAATTTTTTGAACGGAAAAATATATTCGAACACACTAACGGTGCATGGGCAATTATTTCGTTGAAAAAATATTCCGTTAGAAACTTCTGGACTCATTTAAACGCTTGCATTTGAATTAGCCAATCAGATTTCGCGCACTGTATGGCGGCCATTTGTATATCGGCTGTACTAGGAATTTAATTAAATGAGAGGATTTAATCATGACTTTTCGGATGTGACAGTTCAATTATTTTGTTAAAAGGTATTTATTTTTTAGTTTTGTTCATCAATAGGTCAAAATTAATGTAAATACACGCTGTTTTAATTGTTTAACCTTTTCCCTTATAGAAGCGAGAATCGCCGTCTTTTACCATTCCCTGATAGAAGCGAGAATCGACGGCTTTATCGATTACCGCATGTAAGCGAGAATCGCCGACATGCATGATCTCAATGGAAGCGACTTTCGCCGACTTCAATATTTACCTGTCCAAAAATCAACAATTTTCCCGGAAAATAGACCTGTAAATTGTGTTATCGTAAAGATCAACATTTTATGAGGGGATTCCGTGCATAAAATTATGGTGTTACTATTTAAAGTTTTTGTATAATTAGCGACCAACCAGGTGAGGGGTTTTCCTTACGTCACGCAGTTAATGAGTGCGCGGGTCAATGAAATTAAATATAGAACGTATCGTAAGACAGGAACAAAAAGTGTCTAAAAATAGCAACTAATGAATAAATAGTATTTATATGATCACGGGTCGTTCACGTGCCAGGCATGGGTATAATGGATTTTGATGTTTGTTTTGGTTTATGATAGCTGACATGTGTATATACACGGATTAATTAACGTCCTGACTAGGGGTATCTCTCTGGCCCCTGCAATAAAATATTTCCGGTAGCAGCGGCGATTTTTTTAGAAAATGACCGACAAAGAAATGTTTAATAGTTTAAATTCTTTCATGTGCGCTATTGTTTTCAAAACAGACACAGCATGGGGCCGTGTATTATACGACATGATAAAATCATATCCCATATATCATCTTTGATGTCGGCAACATGAAAATGCCGAAAAGGCCGTGGAACTGGAGTATGTCTTTCCTTTATCATCATTTGATCTAAATTAGATCTATAAATGATAAAATTTAATTAAATTCATAATTCATGAAGAAAATATATGACCATGACAGCAGAAATTCTGAAATATTTCATTCAACAGTTATATAGATCTACATGTATTACAGAAATGACAGTTACTATTATGAAATAAATTATAAAAAAAAAACTAATAAAATAAATTAAAAAAAAAAAAGTGAGATTTCTTTTTACTGGTATAAAAAAAGGTAAAAAAAGAACTTGTTATTTATTTCACTAAAAATGAATGCTGCATAAACCAAAAAAAAATAATAATAAATTAGCCATATTTCCCTAATCCCTGTAAAAGAGAGAGAAAAATTATACATTTTATTGTTTTTAACTACTGTAATTATACTGTTATAAAGCCCACAAATATAAAATTTATACCACTGGAAAGATAATTCAAATCTCTACAAATCTTACATTGACATATATATTGTCAAACTTGTAATTAAACCATTTCACATTAGTTAAAACACATAAGTAGCCTAATCTATCTGAAACAATGGAGAAAAAAAACACCATCAAAGTATATAGTTTATTACTTTATAACTCATGTAGACATATTTGTATAAACCCAACAAATATGATATTTATACCATTGGAAAGGTATTTCAATTCTCTACAAACTTTTATTAATACAAAAATTGTCAAAAAACACAAAGCTTAATACTTTATTTTCCAGTTAAAGTATATAGGTATCTAATTTGACCAATTTTACCTATAATTTATCATACCCTATATGGAGATAGTGTGTGACTCCTTATCAGTAGGATATTGATTATTGATTATCTATCTGGCTACTGTATTATGGGGTGTAAAGCAGTAAATTAAGGGGGCTGTATCAGGGAAAAGGTTAAATTCATTAGATCTAAATCGATGTCTAATGTCATTTTTTTTGCTACACGATTTTGCAAAGATCTGTTAAGACCTAACGTAACATGATAAATGGAAAATGTAAAATATCAGATTAATGAATGATAAATATGAAATAGGTTACGTATAGGTCTTATAATTAGGACTACAGAAGATCCAGCAGTGTGACGCCGATGCTGCAATACTTACAGGGTAGACAGACGTTTCACTATTGAGACGGTTCACACCAAGACTTTTCACTCCCAAATGGGAAGACGTTTCTCACCCTTTTAATACCAAAATTATTTTGATACTTATGATATACTAAAATAGACATAAAATATTGAATTGAACTAAAATAGACCTTAAATTTAATAAAAATAAATTAAAAAGGGGGATTTCACTTTTTTGTCAATGACTTAATTAAAACTCAGTACTTTAAGTTCTATCATTTCAGTTATCTTATCTTCTTTATTGTTGTTTTGAAATAAGGTGTTTTCTATATTCTTTGATCCATATGTGCAATTATCACATTATTTCACTTAAAGAAAAAATATTTTTAATTAAAAGAACACTTTAATATAACTAAGTTACTATTTGATCTTTTGTATACATGGACTCATAGGCAGTTTTAATTTAAAGCATAACAATCTTGTAACAACAATTAACTTTGAGTAACATGTTTTTTGTTATTAATTTTAAACAAGGGATAAAAACTGTTAAATTATTTAATGCTAGTATATATATATTATATAGTGCTTTCGCGATATACATGTATGTCAAAAATTTTAACGGCCATTGAAATCAGAAATATCTTTAAATTAAATTAGAAGCAATGGGACTTTTTCAATATTTGTCATGGATAATCATTTTTTGGACTAAAATGCATTATTATATAAACAAAACTTTTATGGTCCAATAAACAAACTGATTAGTAAACTGTTGATGCTTAAGTTTTTGCAGTTGTTTATACAACTGATTGAATAGTGGTGTCAAACTGTTAGTTGAGTGGCCTCAGTGTTTTTTATACAACTAATTAGGCGATGAGATAAACCACAATTACTTAAGTTTGTTTAAATGGCTACTGTTTTAATAAATTGATGAAGAAAATAATTTTTAAAAAATACTTCATTTTATACACATGTTTCGCATTTAATTGTTTACAACTCAAAAATTAATCATTATATAGTCAATAAATTTTATATATTGATATCTTTTATTATTTGAATAATATTAATTACTTTACTGGTAGTGATTTCAATATTTAAACTGATACTTATAATATGTCTTTGTTGTTCTTTCTATGTTATTCTATTTTTTTTTTTAATTTACTATAAATAGAATTTTCTCATGTTGTTACACTTATAATACAGGGCTCACGCTGTCAGTCGCCATTTGCGATTATTTTATAAGATTGGCGATTATTTTTGCATTTTGGCTACAAAATCTGGCGATTATTTTAAATTTCTAGCAGTGTTTACATAAGGTGTAAAAATCGATAATGAATGCAGTGGACCCAATTAACACCAGCAGGGTAGATTTAATTGATCTGTCACGCGTTCGGTTGCTTACTATTGCCTGTTCGTTGCTTTACTATTTGCCCGAGGTGATAAAAATACATGCAGGTGATAAAAATACAAATGAGAGATGTAAAATTGTTTAAGTACTTTAAAAGATATTGTCCAGCATTATAATAGCCATCAAATATCCGTCAATTAGCCACAAAATAATCTTCTTAAAATTGATAAACTGGATATTGACCCCAACCCAAAATTTACCGTAAATTGCAGTAATGACAAAATTTTGATTTTTTTGTTTTAAGCTGCTTTGACTAAATCGCCAGTGGAAAACATTGAAAAAATATTTTTAAAAAAGTAAATTTACTTCCAACCAAATATTTTTGCACAACAACCAAAATTGGTGGAATATTTCTTTCAGAAAACAGAAAAAATCCGATTGTCACATATTTTCCGTGACACCGATAATTTTGATATGTATTTAAAGGTGAAAATAAGCTAATGTTTCTGTTTAAAAATCTTTACTATTTATGGCAGAAAATTTGTATTTACATTTTGGTGATGATGACATTTTTCAGTAAGTTATTCAGAAAAAAGGCTGCATTCTGTGAATGAGTTATTTCTATAGAAGTGTTATTTCTATAGGCTAATATGACCTAGATCTACTTCAGTTTGTGAAATGTGGAAATTGACAGTGGTTATAGCTGATAAAATTTGATTAGAACAAACAAAAGAAAATTGTCTGATAACAGCATTATGTAAAGTTAACATAATGAATCTTTAATTTTATTCTTATACAGTTATTATACTATATAACATTTTTATTTTGTTCTATAATAACAATTAAAGTTGTGGTTCTATGTAAAAAAAAAAAGGTAGTTATCAATATACACAAATGTATCAGTTTATTTGAGAATCTTTATATAAAACTGAAAAAGTTTTATATGTATTGGCATGCCGAGCAGTTCCCGTACAAAAATCGTAGTTTACTTTAAACATTATTTTTTTTACGCTCACTCACCAAAATTTGAATGTTACATATCAATATTCGGCTTGTCCACACAAATCATGGAAATTCAATCATGTTCTAAAACATAGAATACCACCCTTAGTTATGAGGGGCCTCATATGGGGTTTTATCCATTATTTTGTATGAAGAGAAGTAGTTCCCGTACAATAAAATTTAATCCATTATAATTATACAATTTTATTATATCGGACCCTATTTTTCATTTATAATTGGGTTGAACAGACCATTTTCTAAGAGATAAATAGATGTAATTCAGGAAAATAGAAAGTAGACTAAACGAGTGTATCTATTACCCGGTACCCGTTATCCCAACGCATTCACATGCGATGGCAATGCTTGTATACATGCTATTTTACAGCATCAAAGCCATAAAATTTATTTTATTATAAGTAATATTTTGGTCAAAATTCTTGATAATTAAACAAGTTTTTCATCACATTGCCTTCTTATCTGTAAACAGGTGGTATTAGTGGAAACCCCTTTTAAACATGCCTAACGTGTGAGTATGTTTGCGCATGCGCACAAGGACGGGAATCCCCCAGATAAAAAAAGGTCAACGTTTTGACAACGCACAGGTGAAAGTGATTTAAAATGAGACTTTTTATACGTACTGCCGAACTGACACTTAGATTTTGTCTCGTTTATGTATCTGCTTGAATTTGAAATGAATTTTTGAAGAATGCACGTAAAAATCAAGCGTTTAAATGAAAAATACGGGTACTGCTTCTGTACGGGAACTGCTCGCATGCCAGTAATGTTTATTTAATCAACTGCTTATATTGTTGATCGCTAAATCTTGAATAGTCCGCTGAACTTTTGGCTATTATTTTTTTAAGTAAAAAATATTGGCTATTATTTTATTTGAGCCAGTGTGAGCCCTGTAATAAAAATGATATTTCAGAATTATGTCTTTCATTTACACCTCTTATCACTCAACCCATAATAAAAATGAGTTATCTTCTAATAATTCATATTAACAATACCACTGAAATCAACAAAATGAAACATTGAATTGAATTTCCTTTTTACACTGTTTGATATTAATGAAATTAAAATTTGTTAACTTTCCTAGTAAACATCTCTAAAAATTGGGAGTGAAACGTCCATATAATTGACAAAATGGGAGTGAAACGTCTAGGTGTAAACCGTCTTAGGAGTGAAATGTCTCAATAGTGAAATGTCTTGGGAGTGAAACGTCTGACATTCACTTACAGTGGCCTACCCTCCGAGAACACAGAGCCCATGCCAAGGTGACCACGATGTACCTTTTAGTAAAAGGCCTAGTCCCTACATCCAATGGCAACCTCACCCCAATCATCTCTGCTCGAGGACATGGACTTCACTACCTGGTACCATTTGCAAGAACCCAGTGCTAACAGCGATCCTTCTTCCCAGACACCATCCGCCTCTGGAACAGTCTTCCCCAGACAGTTGTAAGCTGTACAACCATAGACAGCTTCAAGAGGGAAGTACTACCACTCACTCTACAATAGACTGTCAGGTGTTTTTACCTTTTTACCAGCACTACACATAGTACCTTTTAAATCACTTTTGTACATACATAGACACCTCTCGCACCGCGCTGTGCTAGTACGAGTACACGCCGGAAGGTGTCTGTACTATATTGGATGAAGAGCCACAGATACTTGGGGTGTGGAGCTTTAAAACACCTTTTAAGCGTCAACATCACCGTTTATTTTATTCCATTTCCAATATTTTCACATAATCCTTTGATTCATCAACACAGAAGATATAATTCTTCACGATGATACTTCAACATCAATATAAACAACGCAACAGGAGAAATAAACATCAAGATTATGAATTTATCTCCGTTTTACTCCATTTACAAAATCTTTCAACAAATTCAAACGCTCTCCAGATTTGCCGTATGCAAATGCGCTGCGCTTTGAAGATAAGAACCAGTGGAGCCATTCAAATATGTGGGTTCCAATAATTCAAAGTGGGGCGTATTTGTATACAGCAAAGCTGGGGAGCCACGTTTGAATTTGTCGAAATGGAGTAAAACGGCGATAATAATTCAGTGTGCAATCCAGTGGTGTAGCTACTATTAGGCCATGTAGGCCCAGGCCTACAAGTTGGTCAAGAAACTGACATTTTCAAAAGTCCCAATAATACAATAAAAACAGGCGGATTTGGTTTGGTAGCGGGTTCAAGCCGTATGGTCGAATCACCTGTGGTTTAAGCATATGCATGATTTACTGTTCCCAGTAAAGTTTTCATCTAATCAAATTCATATTAAACCCCCCCCCCCCCCACCCCAAAGATCTGCCGAGGACGAGATAATGCGCCATTAGCGCTAAAAAAATAAGAATGGCGCAGGAAAATCTGCAGCAAAGGGCCAAGGGCGCATCTAATATCTATGCCAGACTTATAAGAAAACAATACTGTCCGCTAGGTTATTTAGTCATCCAGTCAAAACTGGTACCAACAGCAGCACGTTACCCATTCCCCTGTAATTACGCATATTCTTGAGTTTATCCATTCCCCTAAAGCTTTTGCATGTATTATTTGTTAAGATTTGTGATAACTTTGTCATAAAATTGCTGCACAAAACCTTTACCGTCACAAATACCTAGTGATTATTAATGACCAGTAGATAGCCCCTATTGATTTTTTGGTCACTAGGTCAAAAGTAAGTCCTATTAACCTGACCACATAACTAATTAGCTGCGGATAGGGGGCCTACATGTTTAACAAACATGTCTTGTTTTGATAATTTTCCTTCAAAATACTTTGGAATACGCATTTTGATGTTCTTAAACTGCACTTGTTTTCAGCTTCTCCAGACCCCCTTTTATGGGCCTATGAAAAAAGCTGGCCCTGCAATCAAGCTGTATCATCCTGTGCCATTCTGTATTTAATTCCATATATAACTTTATACTCTATTTATAAACTTTGGAAGAATATTTTTGGAAAAAAAATCGTTCAATATCAAATTTTTGTAATTACCAGTATTAAACTATGACATAATTATTTATTCTATTAAAAAATGCCAAATATGCACTTATGTATGATTTATTATTACTTCTATAATGCCGGGTGGGGCTTATCAAAAATAATTATCAAGTGTTATCGGGCAGTTACCATAGCAGTTGCATGATAAATATAGAACATCAGGGAACAGGTCAGTGTATGAATTAGGATGGGTTCAGTTAAGATTAGGAATGGGTTTAGTTTCTGGACCAATGTTAGAAAGGTTAAAAGATGTTGAAAAGTTCAAGCTAGAGCTAATAACAAAAGAATTAATGAACTCTATTGAAATGTATTATAGATTGTTAGGTACATGTAGCACCAAAAAATTCTTTTTAGCTCCACTTTTTAGAGAAAAAAGGTGATAGAGTTGTGACCCTCTTGTCAGCCTTGTTAATCTTTTAAATGTCCATTTTCTGAGATAACAGCAATTTACTTCAAACTCTGACAGTGGATGTAGAGTTGTCAGATTTTGACATGTGTTCTTAAAGCGTCATTATATCTTAAATGATAATAACCTATATACAAAGCATAATGTAATGGAGTTTCATCTGGCAAATTTTGAATAACATGTGTAATCATTTCAAGTTGCAATTCTACCAACTTGCATTCAAATACCTTTGGGATTTAAACCCACACTCTATTTAAACTCTTTTCTCTTCACTGAAAAAAAAATACATGTACTCTTAATATCTACCATAATTGACATGTCTGAGTCTAAAAGTTCAGTATATAAAACATTTTATGTGTTGTTTTTTTAGGTTTTATTATTATTATTTTATACATGTATTTGAAATTCTATTTTTAGGTTGGCTCTAGAAGGTCATCATGGCGTGTCCTCTCCAGTGTGGAAAATAAAACAGACCCTGCTTCAGAAAAGAAAAAAATGGCGGCCACAGACTACCGCCAGAAAATTGAAAAAGAGCTCACAGATATTTGTTCAGATGTTTTAAAGTTAATTGACAACCATTTGCTCAAAGGAAAATCTGATGATGGCCATGACAGTGAAAGCCAGGTCTTCTATTTGAAAATGAAGGGGGATTACTTCCGTTACCTTGCCGAGGTCTCACTTAATAATGACCACAAAAAGGAAGTCACCGAAAAATCAGAAGAAGCCTATAAAGCAGCAATGGAGACGGCCAGTGCTTTACCTACAACACATCCTATTCGTCTCGGGCTTGCTCTAAACTTCTCTGTATTTTACTATGAGATCATGAATAATCCAAGCAAAGCATGCGATCTTGCAAAGAAAGCTTTTGATGATGCGATTAATGAACTGGATAATTTGAAGGAAGAAACGTATAAAGATAGCACTCTGATCATGCAATTGCTGCGAGACAACCTCACATTGTGGACATCGGATCACGGAGAAAATAACGCAGATGATGATCAAGATGAATAAGGACACAAATGTTTCGATACTTTCTTCATATATGGACATAACAAAATGAATGTTTGAATTTTACTATTGAAGCATTTTTGCTTAATTGGCTTTTACCTGTCACATTAAGCCATTGTTTATTCGTATATGGACACAAAGTAGTAGAGAAAATGAAGTTTACAAACATAGTACTAAATAGGTTATATTAGCAGACTTTGTTCTTTTAAGTTATGACATTAATTTTGTGAGTTTGATATGATATGGACTTTTATAAAATGATAAGTGTGTAGGTTAGTGTTCAGTATCACACTGGCTCAGAACTTCAAAACAAGATTATACTAGTTTAAGAAAGTGAAATTTAATAAACGTGTACATGGTTAACTTGAATTTTAAAAGTCGCATGAAATTTAAGATTTGAACTTAATCAGTGGAACTGGTACAAGCACAGAAGCATGTGGTATTGTGACTCCTGAATTTTATATGATAACCTCATTATGTACTCTATAATTATCTGTATATCTTAATATCTGTATATCTTAATTGTATATTCAGATTTTGATGTTTTTGAGGTTGTTTTCCATACACTGTATGAAACTTATAAGTACTTTGCCTAAAGATCTGTTTTCATAACAAAATTGCATATTTAAACTAATAGTCAATACAATAGAATATGATACAATTTCTGTATTGCTTCATAAGCCACCATGCAAAAACAAAACCTATTTTACAAGTAATTTGTTTACATATTAACAGAAAACTCGGTGTAGATGTATATCTTAAATGGAACAGAAATAATGTCAAATTTGAGTTAATATCCTGTATAAACTTTTATTAATCTAGTTGACTTTTTTGCATGGTTGAGTGACTTATCATTGAACCACCATTGATTGGTCTTTTTGGAATATAGATTTTATCTACAGGTTAAAATCTGAGTACTTGTAAGCTTCATCAAGTTTATGTGTGATTAATATTGGAATATTTATAAGTCAGTTTATTTTAGTAGTTAAAGAGTGAAAATAAGAGTGATAGATTATGTATTTAAGTTTGACAAAGGCAGTGTGTGACACAGACAGTGCATTACATGTTGTAAAATGATGATTGTATCTCAATGGTTTTGTAACCTATCATCCCAACGATGAACTGCAGTATTCTATGGCCAAAAACAAGAAAATGATGCCAGTTTTAGTTTTGAAATGAACAATTTCCTAAGTCATGAAAATCTTTAAGAAGCATGTACTTATTAAGTACTGGCCAACATACAGAAAGGAAATATCCAGTTTTTGTAAGATAGTAACATACATAAAATTGGTAAAAGTGTATCCAGAAGAAAATTATTTGGTGTTAAGTAAAAAAAATGAACAGTTCATTAATACCAGTGTTGAAAGTGATCATTGTAATTGATATTTAATTGGTATTTAATTGTAATGTTATATGTTGTAATGATATGATTGACATTTTATAAATGATTTGTTAAAAGAAAGCTTATTGCTTAAGAGCTTAGAAATCTTAACTTCTGGCTTATAGAATCTTTGATTAGGCAAGCGCACATGTACTTCTACTTTGTGTTAGTTACTATGAAATGCAGTTCATATTTATTTGTGTAAGTAGAATGTATTTTTGTCAGACTTCTTGGATTTTAAGGCGTGATAGGTTGTTAGTGATGCTGATATATGTTCCATCAATGACATGTCTGTAAAACGTTAAATGTTTTAATGAAGGGATCGGGGTATTTGTTAAAAACAGTCTGAAATATGATATCTATGACTTAAAAGGGTGATTAAAGTTTAAGCTTTTCAGTTCTAAACATTAGGAATTAAGGGCGATACAGAACCTGTGCATTGTTAATGATCAAAGAAATCTTTATTGTCAATTAATAGCCAGTTAACTTGAATTTTGTTCATCTTTTGATTATAACTTTTTATCGTTGAATGTAAAAATTAATTTGTTTGTTTTTGTTTCAAGTTGCTTTTATTGGTAAGAAATTCATTTTTAAAACACGATTATTTCTTTACTATTTTGTTGTTAGATGTATTTCAAGATATTTTTTATCAAAGATATCTAAGTGTTCTTAAATTGTCTCTAAGGTCAAGGTCAAAGTGTTTTTCCTCACAGCATGATTGAGATTCTCAATACGGAGTGTTATGTTGGCCAATCATTGGCCCTTTGGCCCGTTCAAATTCTACCTGGGATTCTGTTTGTTTGACTCTTGAGCTAGCTGTACCTGTGTGATTGTGGCTTACAGTGAGTCTAACATGAAAAAACAAAAACAAATCAGTTTCATTGTATATTTGAAATCAAATAAAAAGAATACAACAATTCATGTATAAATTATTTGATAAAGATGTGGGGTATTGTGTTCAGAAAGTCAGCAAATTGTACTTGAGTGTTCAAGTTTGCCCCCGGTCTGAAACCTTCATTCAAACCAATAATTATTTTATCGGGAATACAACCATTTTATATGGTGTTCATGCATTTTATATTACACATAGGCTGCATTATATACTATTATATATATAATTTTATACTCATATATATCTAAAGCATAAACATGATAAAGCATAATAGTTATTGAATCTCTATCTGTTTTGTTATTCTTTTAATCAAAGCATTGTTTGTTTAATTGTTGAAAGAGACTGAAAAAAAATATTTTTTTGTAGTATTTCCTAGAAAATAGTGAAAATACTTTCAAAATGTTTTCTTTTTAAATGCATCATTTTCTTGGAATGGTTTTGTGTTTTTTATTATTTCTTTAAATAGATTAATATTGTCATGGTTTTTCTTTTCGCCAGCATTTAGGCAGCTACAATATTTTGTTCACTTTCATTAATTTTTAATCAATCAGATAACATAGATCAATATCTCAATTTAAAAGTTACATAACATTTTCATGAATATAAAGAAGAGCTACTTAGCAAAAGAATGCTTATTTATCATATAAATCAGCTTACAATTATCTTAACTTGGAGAACGATCTAGGACAATTTAGAAATTGGCTCTCAATTTTTTCAAATTTTCTTTATTTATAAATGTAGACAGTACATGTATGTAGTTGTAGTTATTTATATTAGTTATTTTTTGTTTGTATTCTGAGGAACTCACAAGGATATACCAACTTTAACAAGATTACTCTTTAAATTATGTCCTTTAACATTTTATAAGAGACAGTGAACCTGAGGCTGTGAGTGGCAATTTTTGCTTTAATGACTGTATTACATGCTTTATATTAATTTTTAAGCAGTAATGTTCATTACTTTGATATTTTGTGAAACTGAGACCAGTCTTGATAGCTAAAACCTGGTTACTTATCTTCCTCTAAGATTTTAAATTGACCAATGATAAGAATCCATTTTGAAAGACTGGCTCCCCTTAGTTTTGGACATGAACTTATCTTTATATAAAGAATAAACAGTTCTCACAGTCATACATTAATTTAAGAAATGTAATAATAAAGGAAAGATAATTTATTTCCATTGAATATTACACAAGATGCTCACCATGACAGGGAAAGAAGAATCCGCAAATATTTTTGGACATTGTTTTAGAACTAATTTGAACAATAATAAGTAATCTATGTGTATTTCTTTCAAAATTAAACTCTGTGTTTTGAAATATTTGTGTATGGTGTTTGATATATCTATAAAACATAACTGAAAATGTTGTCTTGTAATGATACATAGTCATTGTCTCGCCATTAAAATATTATCAATGGATTTGATGTTGTTATTGTTTGTATTAGATTAACAGTACTAATTAGTTTACATAGCCATACACGAAACACCAGCCTCTTACCTTTAATTAGCTGAGTGTGTGCTTGATGTCATTGAAGACAAATGTCATTGGATTTTACAACAGCCCCTTGTTAGTTGTTATGTTGTTTTTAAATATTCTCTATGCATGGATGTTATCTATCTAGCATATGAATGTTGATGATCTCTGGCTGAAAGTTGAAATGGTTCTAGGTTTTAATGCCGACATGTTTAGGTCATTTCCTCCGTTATCAAAATGTCAGCTGAAGAAAGGGAAATATGTATTGACATTTTAAATTAACGAGTTGATTCACGAATTAGTTCATTATAGTAAGGATACATGTAGGTCTTCCTTCATCACAAGTCTATGCAGGGAAGGTTCATTATGAACAAGTCTGAGTTGTATAATTGTGTGCGTGAAATCGCTTCAATAAAATGAAGAAAAATATTTCTCTCGTATGTACTCCAGTGATGAAAATGTATGTTGGTAGACATCAATTTTTTATTTTTTTTGAAAATTACAAAATGTACAAATCAATAAGTATTTACTTTGAAAATAAGGTATTTAAAGTATTCAATATACTTTATGTCTGATTGATTAAATATAAAAGTTACATACCAGAGGGTAAGTACCATAAATGATGTGCAATGCCTAAGGTCATAGTTCATAAATCATAAGTAGATCTGCATTAAATTCTTTGTATACCTTGTGTGTTAAATTATTACAGGTAAAATCATTGACAATAAATATCATTTTGAACTATAATCATATATAATTGTAATATATTTAACTGTCACATTACTGACTAGCATTTGTAAATGATTGCCAATATTTCCAGTGACAGAAGCATCAATGACTTGCCCATGCCAACAGTTCAGCATGTAAATTCATACAGTTTGACCTGGTTATATACTATTAAAAAAAAAATTTTGCTCCTTAACATCTCTATAATTATAGAGAGTAAAATTGTAATAGGTAATCCCCAAACTGACAACGGGGTTAAATCCATTTCACAAATCTAGTGGATATTGCCTTATTGAAAGCAAGGAAATCACAAATTGAGTAGGTAAATGTAAACAGTCTCCTGGATCATTAGGTAAATTGTTCAGCAGGTACGTGTATTCTGCTAATGTTGAAGCTTTTCAGAAACTAAACCATAAATTACTGAATTTCATTTACATTAAATATTTCATTCGGCAGATTTTTGCTTTGAAATAACTGACATGGAAACCCACACAATAGGGTAAAATCTCACCAGATTGCTGGTGAAATAAGCCTTTTATCTAATGTTATCAAAGTATGGTTTCATTTGAATTTTGTATACTAAATATATGTACAAGTAGAACCAGCTTATGTATCATTTGCATAACCATCAGTAAATATCATATCGCTATGTTCAAAATATTCAAAACTAGTTCCGCTTAACTGACCTTGAATATGCATTGAAGGAGAAAAAATCTACTAAATAAAAACTTAATCCAAGCATGGGTTATTCAATCAATTAAGGATCTACTGGTCCATAAAATGAGTGCAAAATGGTATTTAATTTGGGCTCTTATGTCTTTAATTATTCAATTACGTTCTAATATATAGTTATCAAAAAATAATCTGTACATCAACTTTTTTCTCTTAACCAGATGAATAATGTGTATAATGGACTGGCCCTGATGCTGGAACAATCCATTTGAATTTTAAGGGATTTCAATACCCAAATTATGCTAAACCAACAGTAGTCTAGCCAGACAGCACCAAGTGCCTCTATGCAGGTAATAAAAGCTAATCACTTTCAGTTCACACAGGATTAGAGTTAAACTGATAGTTAATTTAAGGAAGTATTAACAAAATCCAAAAAGAATCATGTTTATCTCACAATCTGAGTAAAATCAGCTATAAACAAGGCTCCGCTTTGAGATCCGAGCATGACCAATTCCAGTTATTTTATAGTGACCTTTCACACTGCCAATCATCGGTTACTTTCATAATTTTGAAAGCGATGCAGTTTCTAATAAACCAATACTGAGAAGGTAATTTTCACAATTTCGAGAACATACATGGCGTTGTTCATACTGCTGACAGGCAAACTGGCGAAACAATCTTGCCAATTTAAAATTGACTCCATTATTTCGAGTTAATTTGTTAAAAATTACTGCAAACATTTTTTTTTCTAACAAAAATCAACAATTTCTTCAACTTCCACGGATAACGATATTTTGATACTTCTTCTAATGCCTTTGCAAAAACTTGTTTGATGCACGACCAAAAACAGCTTTATTGGGAAATCTGAATATTAAAGAAGGCAAACATATATGGTCGTCATAAGATTTACATGAAAGAAATAAGTAGATCTGATCTATAGTCAGACTGGTTTATCTCATAATGGGTTTACAATCTATCGGAATTATAGAAATATTAACTTCAGAAAACTTTTTCTCCATGTCTAAATATGATCTTGACCTTTGCCAAAGCAATAAGGTTTTTATTTTGCATGGGACAAATAAACAGGATGACATTTTGTTAATACAACTGTAGTCATTTCTTGAATCAATTTTGGACAGGACAGCTCTTTTAATGTTACAAGTAAAAATAAAAATACAACAAACAACATCCTATTCCCATTTTGTTAGATTTATTTTCTTTTACATTATTTCATTACCTTTCATTCAACATACACAAGTTTACAGTGCAGCAATCATACTCTCATAATAGTGGTCATAATATATTGTTGGAACATTAACCCTTCACCTGCTGATCTTGTGCAATGAATTTCTCCTGCTTTGAATTTTGTACAGCCAATTTTCAATGTTACAGGAATTTAAATATCAAAATACAAATATAGAAAGAGTGTTATCAGATGGCATGGATGTGCAGGTTGGCCAGGCTTTACACTGGTGGTAAAGGCTAATCAATTTATGCCTTGGCAGGTTATGGGTAAAATGCTTTTCTGTTCATTTTACTTTCTCAATCGGTAAATTAATATCTGCAACAGGGTAGGTAACTCTTTAAATAGTTGGACTTACAGTACTATTTACTCCATTTTGAAAAATAAGTGATTCAGCAATTTTTATATGTTAGTTGATGAAAAACAATATATGTTTTCATAAAATAATAAACAATTTAAATAAATTGCATCTCACTAGTGAAACCCAGTGTTTTATTTCTTTGAATGCAAATCAAAGAAGGACACATGTAATTATTATTTGACAGTGATGATATACAGCGCAAATACTACATTAATTTTATTTTATATACAGTGTAATTCTCAATTAAATTTTTCCAATTTATTTTTTCAAAATATAACAGCCAGCTTTTCTACCTTACATCATTTGAAGCGAATAAAATTTGACCAATCCATCAATCCTATAAATTTATGATTTTTTTCCTTCATTGAACCTTGATTAAAAAAAATGTTCATAACAAGTTCATATCCACTAACAAGAGAAATACAGAATATACATAGATAAATAACAAGATAATAACATCACATTCAGCTAATTTTTACTGTAGCTTTAAATTTGCTTCTCATTTCCAACATAAAACGTCTCAAATTATTTGTTTTGTTCAACTCTGTTACCAGTTCTTCAACCCCATCAACTGATGGTTCAACATCACTTACTGGAAAATAATGATATACAAAATTGTTAAACATTTTTATCCTGTTATTTAATGATTTAAGACCATTGATACCCTAATCTGCTGAAATTTTTAAAAGAACAATTCTAGAGTCCTTTTTGGGGCCCTTCTTAGGTCAAAACAATTATTCCTGCTTAGATCCAGGAAGTACACTCAAAGGTGGTTCAAATAGGTTCAAAGCTTTCATAACAATTGAACTTATAATATTATAAAGGATATTAAAGTTGGCTCAATACAAATTTTTTAAATCATATTTTGCAAGCCTCTGGCAAGCATAATGTTGTTTTATTTAACAAATTCAATAAATTTAGTGTTTAACTAATCTATTTATCACATATCCAAATAAGAATAGATACAGACAAGAAATAGTCATTTTTTTTATTAATGCACCTACAGCATAATGCTTATAATTTTTATAAGTGTACCTTTATGCTATGTTTTATACACAATAATTTGTGTATTAAGAATAAATAATACTTTAAGTATGAGTAACTAAATGCATCTTTTCAGACAACATTTTTCTGTGTGCAAAAGTCAGCAGTTACAGTCTTTCAGTTATATACTAGAAACATGTTAATCAAAGCAGTGTTTTACTCTAACTTTTGTGAGCTGGCAGGAAATTTAGAAACTGTTAATTTATTTTAAGCATGTGAATACAACAAAAACAACATTTTTTTTATATCAGCAACAAAAGAACATTTGATGTCCTTCACTTTTAAGTTACCACTGAAATCACTGTTACAAATGTTCTTGGATTCTGTACCAATACTTTTCGTATTGTTTACATTTTGTAACTGCCAAACATTGCCACATGTATCATTAGCAACAGCAGGGGTTAATAAATGATATCAAACATGTAACAAATGTATTGTGAAACAAATTGACACTACTAAGAATTTAAAAAATACATTTGTAGACCAACTCAAGAGACTTAGTTCATGATATCTGTAAACCACACAAGACCTGTCTTACATGATGATTTGAAGATGTCAAAGTTATACATACCAACATATTTCCTACTAGGACCTTGAATTTGAAGGAAGAAATAAAAAGCCATCAGTGGATCTTTTTCATCAATATGAGTGAAAATAACTTGAATTCTACCACCTGAAGATAAAATCATAGATATATAAGTACCTACTGACAGACTAAGCACTACACACCTTACTCCAAATACTAGCATGTACACATCAAAGAGACATTTCCACTCAGGCAAACATTTTACCATTGAAGTTCAATATGACACATATGATATTAGGTTATTTGTGCATTTGGTCAACTTTAAAGCCTCTGGCAGATGACTTTTGAGTCTTTTAAGAATCATTATCTGCACATGTAATATAAATCTTGACAACCTTTAATTTATTTACATTAAAAAGTTTTCTATTTAATTTCTTTTGTTAGTTTTAGGAAACAAAAAACAACTGTTGGTATAAACTTTAAAGCTTTTACTGATGGAGGAAGACAACAGAATGATGGCCTTACATGCATTACTTCAAACACAGACAGATACCTGGGTAAAAATATTGACTCCATGCAAGCTTAATATCTTTCAGCAGTGAATCTACAGAATCCTGGTGAGATTCAAATCCAACAGCAACAACAGACAAACCTTTAATAGTCTGACAGTGTATTAAACCATATGGTCATAGACAGCCTATCTAAATTATATAAATTCTGAAAATAATACAAATGTGATGTGAAGATAGTATTTTCACAATGATGTGACTTAACCTACCATGTGTTTTCTTGAAGGACAATCCCAACATACTGCTGAATACATCACTTGCTTTATTCAGGTAATTTAACTCTTGTTTAGCTTGTGTTGGAGCATCTATGTCTGTAAAATCATCAACTTTTCATTATGATGTGTTCAAAATACAGCATCATCCCTACTTTTCATTTAACTTTAAGATGATGTGCAAAAAAGTGATACAGAACTAGTATATACAAGTAGAAACATTTAGTTTTAAATTTTGGTCTTGTGCTTTGAAATGGTTAAATATTATGCTCATTTTCCTATATTCATGTGCAATCAATATTTGATCAATATTTAGCCTAACACTCTTTTCCCTATATTTAAATGAGATTAATTTTCAGCCTAACAATCTGATCCTGCATAATGTATATTCAGATATTCATTTTACAGCCCAACCCACACCCCCCCTCCCCCTCCTATAGCAGGGGCCATTCACGGGTGTTTACCTAGGACTTTGTGCAGTTCTTTTTATTTTTATTATATTTCTTTTCTTTTTTCATATAAATCTAATGATGTAATGGTAAATTGCAATAAAATATGGATCTTAGTCACTGTATGTTTTTTTTTTTTTTTTTTTTTTTTTTAATTTTCAGTTGCCATTGGTGATAGTACCAAATGTAAACTGTATTAAATGTATATAAGATTATAATGGTGAGTTACCTTTCTTGATCTGCTCAATATCTGTTATCACTGACCTATTTTCTGCCTCATATTTAGCTTTTGTAGTATGCAGCTCTTGTGATATTGTGTAGAGCTTCTCAAGTTCTGTCTTCAAACTCTCCAACTGGGCACATTTCTCTTCCAATTCTGACAATAACAGATACCATTCTAGTTATATCTATAGAAAAATTCTCTTTTTTAACTTCCTGTTATTATATGATGATGGACAGTATTCCTAGATGTTATAGTTGTACATGTACTAAGCGGACAGTATTCCTTGATGTTATAGTTGTACATGTACTAAGCGGACAGTATTCCTAGATGTTATAGTTGTACATGTACTAAGCGGACAGTATTCCTATGTGTTATAGTTGTACATGTACTAAGCGGACAGTATTCCTAGATGTTATAGTTGTACATGTACTAAGCGGACAGTATTCCTAGATGTTATAGTTGTACATGTACTAAGCGGACAGTATTCCTAGATGTTATAGTTGTACATGTACTAAGCGGACAGTATTCCTAGATGTTATAGTTGTACATGTACTAAGCGGACAGTATTCCTAGATGTTATTGTTGAGCATGTACTAAGCTGACAGTATTCCTAGATGTTATAGTTGTACATGTACTAAGCGGACAGTATTCCTAGATGTTATAGTTGTACATGTACTAAGCGGACAGTATTCCTAGATGTTATAGTTGTACATGTACTAAGCGGACAGTATTCCTAGATGTTATAGTTGTACATGTACTAAGCGGACAGTATTCCTAGATGTTATAGTTGTACATGTACTAAGCGGACAGTATTCCTAGATGTTATAGTTGTACATGTACTAAGCGGACAGTATTCCTAGATATTATAGTTGTACATGTACTAAGCGGACAATATTCCTAGATGTTATTGTTGTACATGTACTAAGCGGACAGTATTCCTAGTAGGGATGGCAACGAATACAAAAATCAATACTCGAGTACTCGGTCATTTTTCCGATCGAGTACTCGGTTACTCGGATGATTTCCAGTGATCTTCAAAGTTTATCTCACAGTATCAACACCGTCCGCATGCTACTTTCGTTTTCTATTTAAATTCATAGAATTCGTAACTATAAATAGAATTGCACGGGAGACAAATTAATTAAAATTAATTCAACAACATTATATTTTACAACGTTTTAATTAATGCAATATCAAGTTTAAACATGTATCACAGTTCATATATATTTTTTCGTCTTGAAATAATATAGACTGATCGGCGGCAAGAAAAGTTTAAAAGGGGTCTAACATTCATAATAGCAATCGGCCCTTTGTTGTTTTCAAAACTGTTACTTCCGCTACAAACTGTTACACAATTAAAGGTAATTGAATATCATAAAAGCTGGATGACATAAGCGACACAGGTGCGCGTGTCAAACTGTTGATCGCCTCGTTAAATTTATGATATACTTTTCGCACCTCTGCAAGGATGTTTTGATTGCATTGAACAGGTATTATGAAGATATCTGCACATTTCCCAATTTCTGAACTAATTGGACACACCAATCTTTCTAAATCGTTAAAAATATAAATAATATAATTTCCGAGTAATCGAATATCAATTTTGTTAACCGATATTCGGACGTTCGATCGAGTACTCGGTTAACCGGTTACTCGTTGCCATCCCTAATTCCTAGATATTATAGTTGTACATGTACTAAGCGGACAGTATTCCTAGATGTTATAGTTGTACATGTACTAAGCGGACAGTATTCCTAGATGTTATAGTTGTACATGTACTAAGCGGACAGTATTCCTAGATATTATTGTTGTACATGTACTAAGCGGACAGTATTCCTAGATGTTATTGTTGTACATGTACTAAGCGGACAGTATTCCTAGATGTTATAGTTGTACATGTACTAAGCGGACAGTATTCCTAGATATTATTGTTGTACATGTACTAAGCGGACAGTATTCCTAGATGTTATAGTTGTACATGTACTAAGCGGACAGTATTCCTAGATATTATTGTTGTACATGTACTAAGCGGACAGTATTCCTAGATGTTATAGTTGTACATGTACTAAGCGGACAGTATTCCTAGATATTATTGTTGTACATGTACTAAGCGGACAGTATTCCTAGATGTTATAGTTGTACATGTACTAAGCGGACAGTATTCCTAGATGTTATTGTTGTACATGTACTAAGCGGACAGTATTCCTAGATGTTATAGTTGTACATGTACTAAGCGGACAGTATTCCTAGATATTATTGTTGTACATGTACTAAGCGGACAGTATTCCTAGATGTTATAGTTGTACATGTACTAACCTATTCATTATTTTCTAGTGTCAGACATATTGTTTTTAATAAAATCATATTGGAAAAACTCACAGGTGTGGAGTCCTCCAACTAAAGATGACAGATGGAGAATAAAACTAGTAGCATGATTATTTCATTTGGGCAACACCATGAAGACATTGACAAAACACTTTTTATTCAGATGATTCATTCTGCTTCCTAAACAAAGTATCCAGTAGAAGTGATACTGATAAATGAAGAAACCTGGTTTTGACACAAATAAGTCGAGAACCAAATATCTCCCAATATAAAAAATGGCTGCAAAATGATTATACTAACTTAAATAATAATAATTATTGATAATTATATATGCACTATTGCTCTACAGTTAAAAACAATACAAAGGTCACAAAATTGCACTTATTTATCAAGATTCCATAGATAGTGATAGGGAAAAATATATCTATTATATAAGGAGACAACTTTTAAAACAAGCAATTATCATAGTATTGCAAGCAATCCATAAGTCCCCACCGGTTAGAACCCCATCAACATTCTGAAGGGCCATTGGCCATTCACTAATGTTTCAATTTTTCTCTATTTTAAGTAAATTTGTTGGAAAAGTTCTTTAAAAGTGATCACAGGAAACAGTTTTTATGAACAGACAGACGGACTGAAGGACACTCTAAAGTTAATATTTGAAACATCCCTGTTACCAAAATATAACATTTTAAAAGCAAAAATTCTTAAAGAGGAGATAACTCTTGAATTAAAGATGCAATTTCATAAAAATTTTCAGCTCTTTTTGACTAATCACAAACATTGTTATATTTGCCATGTTTTAAGCCTATTTGTTGCCAAGGCAACTGATATTTTATCAAAATAGGAAGAACGGATAAGACATGCATAATCTCAAGACTGCTATCTACCCATATGTCAAGTTTCATAAAAATATTTCCAGTACTTTTTGAGTTATAACTGGATTCAGTTTATGTGTAAAATTTGCCATATTTTCAGTCTATGTGTTGCCATAGCAACCAGAATTTTCAACATAGGAAGAAAAGAAAAAGACATGCATAATCTCAAAACTGCCATCTACCCATACGTCAAGTTTCATAAAAATATTTCCAGTACTTTTTGCGTTATCACTGGATCCAGTTTATGTGTAAAATTTGCCATATTTTCAGCCTATTTGTTGCCATAGCAACCAGAATTTTCAACATAGGAAGAAAAGAAAAAGACGTGCATAATCTCCATACTGCCATCTATCCATATACCAAGTTTCATAAAAATATTTTCAGTACTTTTCAAGTTATCGCAAGATCCAGTTTATGTGTAAAATTTGCCATATTTTCAGCCTATTTGTTGCCATAGCAACCAGAATTTTCAACATAGGAAGAAAAGAAAAAGACGTGCATAATCTCCATACTGCCATCTATCCATATACCAAGTTTCATAAAAATATTTTCAGTACTTTTCAAGTAATCGTGGGATCCAGTTTTGTGGACGGACGGACTGACAGACGGACGGACGGACGTTCTCACAGGACAGTAATTATGTGGCTACTCTATTGTTCTCTCTATTGTTCTTTTAGCCACGCAAAAGAAAAATAGCCACATAAAAGCATTACGGAATGAATGACATCAAAGAGAACCTATTGTCCCTCTAGCCACATAATTACTCTCCTGTGAGTGCGGACGGACGGAAGGAGGGTAAACCTAAAGTCCCCTCCGGTAAACCGGTAGGGGACTAATAAACCAATACCATTGGTTGATAACTCCTAAGAATCAGTATTTTCTAAAAACAAAAAACTTACTTTTATCAGTTATAATATTCTCTTTTAGTTTGCTGGACATGATGTGCTCATATTTCTCCTTTTGATCTGAAATAATAAAAATATCAATACCAAAACAAAACTGTGTTGACAACCTTTCTCAACATACAAAAGTGAAGTTGATTGGATATATTCATCTCTACTAATGAAGAGAACTACAAAATAGAAGAATCAAAACTAGACAAACAATATTGGTAATAATTAAATTAATAGTATCAATTAATTTTGGAAATGGTCTCATGCCATGTACAGCTTAATTTAATGTCACTTGTCCATGCATAAATCTTCCAGTTTACATGTCTTTAATCAGAAGTGGAAAGAAACAAGAGGGCCATGATGGCCCTGAAATTGCTCACCTGTATATAGGCCCCTGGGCCATGGAAATTTTAAACCAGGGGCTTTTATTTGAACATATTTGGTAGACACCCACTAGAAGATTTTTCATGATAAATATCTAAGCTCTAGCTCTTTGGGATTTTTATGAGATGTTTTAAAGTTTTTAATACATACATATAGGGAAAAACAATGCCCCCCTTGGAGGGGCCAATTTTAACCCCATGTTTTTTATTTGAAAAAACTTGGTAGACACTCACTAGAAGATATTTCATGCTTAGTATCTAAACTCTAGCTCTTTGGGTTTTTTATAAGAAGATTTTTTAAGTGTTTACTATACACATTATGACATATAAGGGGCGGGGCCAATTTTAACCCAAGGGCCCTTATTTGAACAAACTTGGTAGACATCCATTAGAAGATGTTTCATGCTAAATATCTTAGCTCTTTGGGGATTTTAAAAGAAGATTTTTTAAGTTTTTACTATATACATAGAGGGAAAAACAATGACCCCCTGGGGCAAGCCAATTTTTACCCAAGGGCTTTTATTTGAACAAACTTGGTAGACCCCAACAAGAAGATGTTTCATGCTTAATATCTAAGCTCTAGCAATTTTGTTTTTTTAAAAGAGGACTTTTTAAAGTTTTTACTATATATACAAATAAGGAAAATCAATGACCCCCTGGGTCTGGGCAAATTTTTACCCCAGGGCTTTTATTTTAACAAACTTGGTAGACACCCACTAGAGGATGTTTCATGCCTAATATCTAAGCTCTAGCTATTTGGGTTTTTTAAAACAAGATTTCAGGGCATTTATTTGAACAAACTAGGTGGACACTGACTAGATGATGTTTCATGAAAAATATTTAAGCTCTAGCTTTTTCGGTTTTCTAAAAGAAGATATTTTATGTTTTTTCTTTCGGTTGCCATGGCAACCAGAGTTCTGCTTGGAATTAAATTCTTTGAACAATTTTTAAAGTTGACTACCAAAGGAACATTCCTGCGAAGTTTGGATGAAACTGGCTTAGCAGTTTATGAGGAGATGTTGTTTAAAGTAAATGTTTACGGATGGACACCGGACCGACGCTGGACAAAAAGCGATCACAAAAGCTCAACATGTCACTTTGTGACAGGTGAGCTAAATATAACCATTTACTGATTTACCATTGATTTATAACAGAAATTACCATTCAGGTCTTTAAGCACTTGTTCATGTTTGATACTTTGATTGGCAGCAAGTTGTTTGATTTCCTCCTTCATCCAAAAGTCTGTTTTATCTTGAGCCTGTTTCAATCTGACTTGTAACGTTTGTAGCTCATCATCTAGATCTGCAGCACCTGCCATCACTATCTGCAATTAGTTCATACACATGTTGAATTTAAACATAATATTAATTCAGCACAATGTTGTAGGCAAATTTCTAAACCACATTTAACTTTTTCATAACATCACAACCGATTGACAAAAATATGATTCACACTTTCAAAATTTTGTTCTATACTTGTGATTTAATTAAGAAATAATATATCCCCAACCGAGTGACTTTGCACTGCCAATTCTAAGATGCGAGAAATTATATCACGGTTATAGCTACGCATCCAAACAACAGTGATTTTATTCAGAAATTATTTCCTAAATAGGGGAAATTCGGGTTGTGTTATTAGAATATCATATAACGCAAGCAACTACCAACATGTGTCTGATAAAAACAAATTTTCATAAATATTCTAAGTTAAAATGGGGAATGACCAGTGACTTTTTTCCAAATTTCAGAACAATCTGTGGCTTTCTGAGAGGGGAAATATAGCGCAATAAATGAGAAAAAGGGGAACATCGGAAATCAAATTCCAAAAACTGAGAATGGAATTTACCCACACATTTTATAAAATTTTCTGTTTCTGAATCAATTAAATTTAACATCCATTTTACATAGCAATGGCTATCTATAGGGACAGCTTTCTGTCTTCTAGCTGATGCAAGTTACATGCTGTAAGTCATGGTTCTGGTGAAAAAGTGTGTGGGGCATTTAAGGGGAAAATATTAGCATTTATAGGGGAAAATATACCTATTTTGGGCTAGGGGAAACAGCCTTTATTCGGCTGTAAAATATAGGAATAAAATCACTGATAACTCATAAAACATTGATAACAGGATAATTCCCCTTGTCCTAGTCTTACTTTGTTCCTTGTCATTCTGCAAATTTCATGTTGATAACTTTGATAATTTGGAAATCATCCCATCATTTAGTATTAGATCTACCAATATTTTATAAATGTGACCCATGCCGAGTTTGTGTAGGGCTAAAATGAGTATGGGCAAATTACATATGATAATGAGGGTCAAACCAAAGATATTCTACTGTTCATTTACATTTGTGGAGCTCACTCCAATTAAGCATGAACAGTCCAACCCAATTATAGACAGTTAGGCTAAATCATAAAATCAATATTCAATTCCGTCAAACTAGTGTTGAAAAAGACTCAAAAATATGTTGAGAATTCTCTTTTTACCATTCTAAATCAAATTTTTAGTTGGAAGTCGGATTAATCCCGATTGTATGTCCAATAGTTACATGAATAATTTGTATAAATAATATGTTTTTATATATTGATCAGTCGAATTTGACATAGCCGAACACCATAACAGAAGATAATTAGTACATCATTAGCTTTTTTTACCCTGCGTCCAATATATTTGACATACACGAAAAGTATCTATAAATTCTAATACACCTTAAAAATCGCTGTACTTAATTGAAAATCTTAATAACATAAAAAGTCAGTTTTATATAGATTCTTACTAATTTTGTTTTTCAAAACAACCGCTCTTTGCAAAAACACACACCTTCCTGTAGTCGTCTCTTATACGGAAACTAACGGAAAGATACGAGTTCAATCATTAGTTGACCAATCAAAAGTCTCGTAGATGGGGAATACCATTGTGACGTCATTGTTGTATTCTCCATTTCCAGTCTGGAATGACAACAATACAACTTTTACGCAGCTGATAAAATAAACATATTCTGAGTTGTGGAAAGGATGGGAGACCCTGATGTGCTGACAACTTTAAAGATACTGATCATTGGAGAGAGTGGAGTTGGAAAATCCAGGTAAAGAATGGACCATTTTTGGACAATATCATGCCAGAAAAAGAAAGTAGGCCAAATTTTGGATTTTGGCAGATCTATCACAATCAGATAATGGTTCTAAATTAATGAATGATAAATCTGAGTATGAATACTGTAATGTAGAATCTTGTCTTAACTTATATGCAAACATGAAGTTTAGCGGACTCAAGAAGATAAATATTATTTAGCACACAAGTTTGCTTATGACAAATCAGCTTTAAGTTATATTTACTCTAACTCTATATTATCGGCGCAACTCTATTATCGACGTACACTCAGTATTTTGTCATGTGTCGTCATGTATACATAGAAATTAAAAAAAAATTGACCTCATTCAATAAAAAATGTAATGATTAGTTGAATTTGTACTGCTTTACACAGAATATGGATTATTAAACTCATCAATGAAATTGAATGCAGACATATAGGAAAAGTTAAGTACGCCGATAATACGGAGTCCCATGCTAACAACATAGCTACTATAAATATGAAGTAAAGTAATTGAAATGCCCTATTTGATTTTAGAAAATACTGCTAGAAAATGTAGAAAGGAATTGATCACGTATTTAAAATGAAACAAACAAAAAATCCCTACATTGGTAAAATTGTGGCTCAGCTTATTGAATAGCCCAACAAATTGTGCCCTTTAGGGCTTTTTATTATATAGACGATGCTCGCCCTAAAGACAGACATCTATGAAATATCAGATTATAAAATCAGTCTGTCTTGCAGTCGAATATTGAGACTACTTGTAAAAGCTACCTAGTCAAAAAAATTGACGTGCCAAAGCTTTATTCTGAGAGCAGAATCTCGCTTATAGCATGTCAGACTCCTAAGTCAGGGTAATGGTTTCTAATATCACAAGTGTTGATATTCTCTTGGTATGATTTAGATAAGTGGTTATGATACCTGTAAAGTGACTTAAAGCACATGTCTAAATTCCCAAAATGAGGTTTGACATTAATGAGAGGGGGATGTAATTCGCTTTGTCCAATAAAAAGGTCCTGAACTACTTTTGTTTGCTTTGTTCAATATTATATGGATCTTCACCTATGTCTTGTTAAAAATGTGATGTCGTGTAAATGTTTAACAATGATAAAAAACAACATATAGATTGTTGTAGGCCATTAACAGCAAATAGGTTACTACATACATGTACCAAGAATACCATTTAGATTTTTCTCAGCTAAATTGCTTACACCAGCAAAGTCTGGGTATTTAAATATATGGATTAATATATTTAAACAAATATGCTATGATGTTTTTCAGTCTGTTATTGAGATTTACAGATGATACATTTGACCCTGAACAATCTGCCACAATTGGTAAGATAATATTTATTTTGATTATATATCTTAGGTGTAGATTTTAAAAGCAACTTTATTTTTCTTCTCATTCTTATCCTGTTTTTGATGCCAGCAGATCATATTATTTTAATATTATATACCCTTTAGTGACTAAATTGATCGTTGGTGTCAGATGACTTCTCATCACTAAAATCAATAAATTTCATGTATGAAAATACCTGATATTCAGCTGGTTGTAGATAGGTTTTAGAAAAAGCTAGTGTTTCAATTTAGGTATTAGCCTGAAATAGTTCTTGGAGAGGCATCTTGGTCTTTAGATACCTAGTATGTTGCACTGTGACTACAACAATTATGATGTGAGTCTAAACTGGCTACCAACATGGGATGATATTATTATGAATAAAAAATCTTAACAACATAAATGCAATAAAATGTATATAATTATCAAGGTTATGCACAGTTATTGCAATTTTTAAATACACACCAATGTAAGACTTGTTTCTTTAATATTTGAGATGTAAAACTTTAATTACCTGTTTCTTTTATTTAGGTGTTGATTTTAAAGTGAAGAATTTGACAGTAGATGGAAACAAAACTAAGCTTGCAATATGGGTGAGTTTGATATTTCTCTGTCCCCAACAACTCAACTCTTTTATTTCATAGTTAAAGGCCTCCGGCCCAAAATATATATCAAACAATATAGCAGCATTTGTAACAGGTTATGTCAATATAGTATCAGTATTTATGACATTGTCTATTAACTTCAATATAATAGCAGCATTTAATGATTTATGACATTGTCTATTAACTTCAATATAATAGCAGTATTTATGACATTGTCTATTAACTTCAATATAATATCTGTATTTATGATATTGTCTATTAACTTCAATATAGTAGCAGTATTTATGATATTGTCTATTAACTTCAATATAATATCTGTATTTATGATATTGTCTATTAACTTCAATATAATAGCAGTATTTATGACATTGTCTACTAACTTCAATATAATAGCAGTATTTATGACATTGTCTACTAACTTCAATATAATAGCAGTATTTATGACATTGTCTATTAACTTCAATATAATAGCAGCATTTATGACATTGTCTATTAACTTCAATATAATAGCAATATATTATATGACATTGCCTACTAACTTCAATATAATAGCAGTATTTATGACATTGTCTACTAACTTCAATATAATAGCAGTATTTATGACATTGTCTACTAACTTCAATATAATAGCAGTATTTATGACATTGTCTACTAACTTCAATATAATAGCAGTATTTATGACATTGTCTACTAACTTCAATATAATAGCAGTATTTATGACATTGTCTATTAACTTCAATATAATAGCAGTATTTATGACATTGTCTACTAACTTCAATATAATAGCAGTATTTATGACATTGTCTACTAACTTCAATATAATAGCAGTATTTATGACATTGTCTATTAACTTCAATATAATAGCAGCATTTATGACATTGTCTATTAACTTCAATATAATAGCAATATATTATATGACATTGCCTACTAACTTCAATATAATAGCAGCATTTATGACATTGTCTAATAACTTCAATATAATAGCAGTATTTATGACATTGTCTAATAACTTCAATATAATAGCAGTATTTATGACATTGCCTACTAACTTCAATATAATAGCAGTAATTATGACATTGTCTATTAACTTCAATATAATAGCAATATATTATATGACATTGCCTACTAACTTCAATATAATAGCAGCATTTATGACATTGTCTATTAACTTCAATATAATAGCAATATATTATATGACATTGCCTACTAACTTCAATATAATAGCAGTATTTATGACATTGTCTACTAACTTCAATATAATAGCAGTATTTATGACATTGTCTACTGACGCCAATATAATAGCAGTATTTATGACAAATGTATACACAATAGCAGATGATAGGTTGTCCAAATTGCCCACCATATTTCTGTCTTTCTGCCTACAAATTATGTGATCACATGGTTTATGAATAAATAATCAACAACATGTAGATAAAATATGTCACATTATTTTCTCTATTGAATTGATGTGTCTATTATCATAACCTATATTATTTTCCTTCATATAAGTTTGAAATTTTGTTCAGAAAATTCAGACTTGTATAAAATAGATTTTTGGTATTTTACGTATATTTTACCAAGCTTGTGAAAAAGTACCAGTTCCTTCCACTGTTTCTAAACTATTCACAAACTTTTGAATGCAAAATCTTTACTTACAAACTACTTTTTGTATGGGTACATGGTGTTATGTTTTACCAGATAAATGTGACATAATAATGAATAATAATATATGTAATAATAAAGTCTTTTATTTTAAGAAGCTACACAGTTGCAACAAAGGCAATCTACCATGTGAGCCTCATAAAATTTACATATTTACAATCATGTTGTTTAGAATCTAATGGTTATCATATATATAAAACACTATTGCAGAAAGTTAATGCAAAATATATAGACTGTCAAAATGTTTTTGATTTAAGACAAAAAGTGCACAGACTATATTAAAGGAAATAAGTATCAAGAATTGCTCTCCCAATAGATCTAACCATCAATAATCTAAATTTTATCATTGATAATTGTTCTTTAAATGATATACATTGAACATTGTGTAATGAATATTTGGATAAAATATTATTAATGTTTTTTTTTTCAGTTAACTAATTGCTAGCAAATGCTATTAAGTTTAATTTGCTTTAAAGTTAAATTATCTTCTATAAGTTGTTAATACATACAATTTAATGGGGAATAAAATATGTACATATATTTTATGTTATGTTTTAACATGTGCAGGATACTGCCGGACAAGAGAGGTTTCGTACATTGACACCAAGTTACTACAGAGGTGCCCAGGGTGTTATCTTAGGTATGACTATAGTTGTCTTATACATCTGTACATTAGGTATAAATATAGTTGTCCTATACATCTGTACATTAGGTATAACTAAAGTTGTCTTATACAGCTGTACATTAGGAATAACTATAGTTATCTTATACATCTGTACATTAGGTATAAATATAGTTGTCTTATATATCTGTACATTAGGTATAACTATAGTTGTCTAATACATCTGTACATTAGGTATAACTATAGTTGTCTTATACATCTGTACATTAGGTATAACTATAGTTGTCTTATACATCTGTACATTAGGTATAACTATAGTTGTCTTATACATCTGTACATTAGGTATAACTGTAGTTGTCTTATACATCTGTACATTAGGTATAACTATAGTTGTCTTATACATCTGTACATTAGGTATAACTATAGTTGTCTAATGCGTCTGTACATTAGGTATAACTAAAGTTGTCTTATACGTCTGTACATTAGGTATAACTATAGTTGTCTAATGCGTCTGTACATTAGGTATAACTAAAGTTGTCTTATACGTCTGTACATTAGGTATAACTATAGTTGTCTTATACGTCTGTACATTAGGTATAACTATAGTTGTTTATACATCTGTACATTAGGTATAACTATAGTTGTCTAATGCGTCTGTACATTAGGTATAACTAAAGTTGTCTTATACGTCTGTACATTAGGTATAACTATAGTTGTCTAATGCGTCTGTACATTAGGTATAACTAAAGTTGTCTTATACGTCTGTACATTAGGTATAACTATAGTTGTCTTATACGTCTGTACATTAGGTATAACTATAGTTGTCTTATACATCTGTACATTAGGTACAACTATAGTTGTCTAATGCGTCTGTACATTAGGTATAACTAAAGTTGTCTTATACGTCTGTACATTAGGTATAACTAAAGTTGTCTTATACGTCTGTACATTAGGATAACTATAGTTGTCTAATACGTCTGTACATTAGGTATAACTATAGTTGTCTTATACATCTGTACATTAGGTATAACTTTAGTTGTCTTATACATCTGTACATTAGGTAATTAGGTTCAATGAAAGACAGAACTGTTGTGCATTCCAAAGGTCACAATTTAGAGGTGGCTTATGGTTAAGGTATCTGCCAGTTCACCCACAGATTTATGATTAAAGCCTGTCTGAGCTCACATGCATGTTTCTTGATACAACTCCATTTAGTTCCAGAGAAAAGACTTAAGTGAATTGAATAAGCTAAAAACTTTCTTAAGTTAATAACTTGAATAAAATGTAGCATTCTGTGTTTCACATTACATCATGTACAAAACATGTATTGGAAAATGCTTTATTTAGCATGAGTCTGTGAGGTAAGAAATATTATATGTCTGACTAACAGAGTTAAAGCATCTCTTGTTACATGTTACTTGTTACATGTTTTAACATGCTTATACATTGAGGGTGCATTAATTATTGATGTTTACATGCATTAACATACATACTCTTAAAAGAACCAAAAAAGTAGTATAAAAGACCATGAGGGGAAAAGTTTAATCTCTATGAAGAGAAAAAACAGAAATAATTTAAAGAAAAAATGCCAAGAATGTTTTGTGTCAAGCAAAAATATAAAAATTGGTAAGAAAACTAGTCTTGAAAATATAAAATTATAAGAATGTTTACTTATTTTATTTGACAGTGTATGATGTATGCAGCAAAAGTTCTTTCAACAAATTAGAGGCCTGGTTAAATGAGCTGGAAACCTTCTCAACCAAACACGATCTCATCAAAATGTTAGTGGGCAATAAAATTGACCAGGTAACTATTAACAGTAAACTATTGTACATTTATTCTTAGTTTGAAATATTCATTTATTGCTTTTCAATCAGATTTCAGTCACTCCTTACATAGTAAAACTATAACTTTTTGGCATTCTTCAGTGAAAAGGATTTTCCGAATTTAAAAAGTGATTTTGTGAAGATATGATTTAAATTCACCTTAAGTTTAAAAATCATAATGAATCAAATGCTCTAAAGAACAAATACTTCATTGATGTATATGAGCCTCAAATTTATTCAGTTACATTGTATCAAGTGTGGTAAATAAACAATTAAACATTAAAGGGAAGCTATAGTGTGTTAAATGACTAAATGATGAGTGATCCACTGTGTCTGGTCACTTGCATGTTTCCTAATTGACAACATTGTTTGTAATACAATGTATGATATATTATCTTGGTTATGATTAGTTTCAAATAACCGCCTCCGTGGTCGAGGGGTTAGAGTCGATGACTTCTAATCCAGTTACCTCTCTGGTGTGGGTTCGATCCCCGGGAGATGTTTTGGTAGTTTAGCGCGGAGGAAGGTAGTCCAGTACTGGTGTAACTCTCCAGGAACGATGGTTAGGAAACTACCCGCCTATATGACTGAAATACTGTTGGGAAAAGGCGTAAAATGAAACAAACAAACAAACAAGTTTTAAATAATTAAAGTGGCAAGAACTTTTTTCACAATATTGAATAAAGTTTGAATAATATATGTTAGAAATGACAGGCATAAAATATTTTGTTTAAAAAAAGCATTTAATAGTTTCTTTGAATATTTGTTGTCAAATCATAGGTTGAAAGAGGTATGCATGACATTTTGAGGTAGATCGGTATCACATTTTTCTGTCTGTCTTGTTTATTTAGCCAAAACGTGAAGTTAGTAAAGAAGATGGTTTAAAGTTTGCCAGAAAACACCAAATGTTGTTCATAGAAGCCAGTGCTAAAACAAAAGAAGGAGTACAATGTGCCTTTGAAGAATTGGTTGAAAAGGTAAATTACATTTTACTTATATAAAAACTTAAACTGTGCTTTTATTTGGCTTACAAAATCCATACTTTAACACAGTATGAAAGTATGTTTTGACAAAGTGTTCTGTAAATTTATAACATAGCATTATTATCTCTCTGAATGACAAAATTTAAAGAAAAAAATACAAGTGTAAAATTGATTTGAAACAGGCATATGCGTCAAATTCAGTCAAGCTTATCATTTTTGAATATATAAGGAGAACTTTTGTTTCTTATCTGTCTAATATTTTTGTTGTAACTTAAGAAGCAAAAAAATTATGTGAATTTGTATGGCAGCAAAGGAATAGCAAAATAATTTTATTCTATTTCACAGATTATACAAACTCCTGGTCTCTGGGAAACAGACACTAGACAGGGCTTTAACTTGGCAGGGAACCAGGGAGAGGCAGGTGCTGGGGCATGTGGGGGATATTGTGTCATATGATATGTCACATGCTTATAAATGGACCAATCATCATTAAGAATAATATAAAATAAAACAATAGATGTGGATATATTTTAGCAGAATTTGCTTACATTGTGTAAAAAGAAAGAATTTGGTGTTTTAAAGAAATTTGGAATAGTGGTTTTAAACTTATCATGGCATGAAGTGGTTATGTTTAGAGTGTGTTAAAAAAGCAAAAACAATTCTGATACATTTGAAATGCAATATTTGTTGAAACTATGGTAGATTATGTATATATTAGGTAAAAGATACAGTACAGTATACAATTTTAAAAATGATTGGAATTAACTGGAAAATATAATGATGAAAGAAGGGTAGTCTTACCATCAGGTATTTGCTATTGGAACAAATCTTTACCTACATTAATATGATTTTATTTCTTCTTATAATCAGCGATGGTGTATTAACATTTTTTCAGTTGATAGGAAGCAAAAACCTTTTCATTAAACATTTTGACCAAAAGTTCAGCAAAAATCTATAAATAGATATTTATTACTACATTTAGAATTATTTTGAAATTTGCTTGCATACAAAGATATATATTAAACTTGTACATAATGTTATAACAGCTAGCAACATAATTGAAATCGTATTTAGTGGACCAAAGCATGCACCCAAAAAATGCTGCACATTTTAAAATTGTAAGAATAGCGAAGAATAATGATAATATAGCACAATGTAATAATGATTTATAAAGAAAAATTATTTCATTGCATTGATATTACACTCACAGTAATATGGCACACTGGTGTAAGACAATTATTTTCTTGATTAATGGACTAATGGAATAAATTGGTTTGTTAGTACCAAAACTATAACGGCATCGGTCTTGATATATCTTAGATATATCTTATATAGTTGAATGTATATGATAAGCTCTGTCTCATCATGTTTGAAAAGTACTACTGTTGAGCTAGTCTTGACGTCATGGTTTTTATGTCATACAGTTTCATGATGTCATACATGACATCATGATGGTTTGACAACTATTGTTCCTTAAGATCATGATTAAGTGAAGGGTAACCTAAACCCTAGACACACTAGATAATCTTAAATGGATTTGTCTATCCCTCAAGCTGGACAAAACCAGTCATCGTTTGTAAGCGAAAAATTCAAAATAAATGCTGACAGACTTATGTGCTGGCTGTTAATTGTCTGCACTAGTGGCATGAATGAAGGTTTATGAGAGATTAGTAAGTAAGTAAGTAAGTAAGTAGCGACTTTATTTAATGAGGCTAGCACATTTGGTTTCCCGATCTTCCATGTGGGTCTCAAGCTGAACTATTGTAAACAGAGGAGGAAAGTGAAATACATGTATGTAAGACTATGATAGAATTTCTGGATGTAAAATAGCGAAATATAAGAGAAACTCTTGCTATAAGATGATTACTATTAGTGCTCGAGTGATTGTAATGTTTAGAAGAGACCGGTGATGGTTTGGGGCAGTGTAATTTCCTTTTATGTCAAAAGGAGTTATCACAGTCTGGCACCAATCCCTAGGTGCACACATTTATTATAATGACCTATCTGTACTTAAGATTGGGTGTAAATACCTATACCATACCATGCATTCTCATATTACCAATATGTTTTATGCTTTACAGGAATGATATTTCTGTGGAGATTTTAATCTGTGAAGGTGTAATTGTTGTACATAATTTTTATTTTATCACAAAGTTTTACTTTTTAAATGTATTCACAAAGTTTTACTTTTTAAATGTATGGGTAGGAAAAGAGAGATATAGTTCTTTTTGTAAATTATTTTTATTATATTGGAATAGATTCTATAGTTTGGAAACAGTTATGTTAAGTGCATATAGTTATAAAAGTAGTGCTTTGTTGATCATAGCCATGTAGCATTTCCATGATATATGTGACATCAGTTTAACTCTCTGATAATGAATGTTTAAATTAAAATCATCTACAACATGTACATGTAAACATCTGATCAGTTTTAAGATCTATTTTTGGTTTAAACATGATACATAGAATTGACGCTTTTTGTTGATCAACATGTAAACATGATAAACTCAAGAAAAAATGTTCCCAAAATATTTTTATTTTTTAAATAATAATTTGTTAATTTATTTATCTAAGTGGCATTGGTATTTTTATTTATTTGATTTTCAAAAGATGTTGAGTTAGAATGTTGAAGAATGCATAACTCTTACGAGCAAATGATGTTTCAATATCCAATGTTATTGTAGTTTTAAGCTCATACAAATAAGTTGAATTGTGCATTATCAGATTTTATTATTGTATTTGAATAAATTCAAGAGGAGCAGTGGTAAAGTTGTCTGTCTCTCCGCCAGTGACTGTGGGTTCAAGTCTTACGAACTTCACAACCATGGCTCTTCAAATGACATCAGTACTGGTTATTAGTTCCAGGCAAAAAAATTTCCCCTTTGTTTAAATTTACATAAAGAAAAAATCTTCTTTTTTAAAATGTAAAATAAAAAACCCTAACCCCCCCTTTTAACCCAAAAGACATCAGCCTTTGCCCCAAAATAAACCCGGCTCTATATCTGCTGGTCCCCTAAATTTTTTGCCCTTTGAAATTAAAAATCCCTTTATTTTTAAAATGGACGGGGTCCCTTTCAAAAGAAAGGGAAAATCTATACAAAAATACAGTGGTTGAGGGTTAAATTTCCCAAAACCCTTTTTAATTTTAATTAAAAAAATTGCTATATTTTAATTTTAAAAATGTAAACACGTACCCAGATGTAGCAGACTTCCTTAAGGAGTATATTTTAACTTGCCCTTGAAACAAATTTGTTTATGTTTCATATTTATCGATAGTTTGTTTGTTTTCTATTTTACTTTTAGCTTGTAGTGTTCAGGGTTTGTTTTATTTAACTAAAACCATATTTTAGGTGCTGTATTTTCTCCAATATCTCTGTTACATAAAAAGTTTCTAAACAACTTTATGTTGTATTGGAAAGTTTTGAATTTGTTAAGAATGTTATAGTCAGTGGAAATAACCTCACATGTTTTGAAGCAAAATTTAGTTATATGATGTCATGGTAAAGAAGCTTTTCTCTGAGAGAAAAAATCTTTCTCTTTGAATTGTGTTCTGTATTCATTCAAAGTATATACTAGTAAATTTTGCATTGGTATTATTTTGTTTTTGACTTGTTTTTCACTTTTATGTATGAAAATTTAATAGTTGTAATAAATTGATTAAGTTTCTATATTAAGTTATTGTCATGTTCAAGTATATACAAATGTACATGTACAAGTATGTAATTTTGACTCAAGTTGTTGGACACATTGTTTTTTAGCTACCCATTTTTTGGTTTGGAAATTTGGGTTTTTTAGGGGTTTAACAAAAATAGAAAAAAGGAAAAACAAAACCCTTTTTGCTAAATGTCAAGATTATTTGTAAACAGAAAAATTCCCTTTTTTCTCAAGTAAAAACCACAAACCACGGGATTAAAAATTTGGTGCTTCCCTGTAAAGGGGAATTTGGGCGGGACATTTAAAAGGAAAAATACATGAAAAAAATATTTAGGGATTTTACAAAAAGGATGTTTTTTCATATAGATTACTTAATTTTTTTAAAGAATATTTTAAGGTTTTTTTTTAATTTATAAAAAAAACCTGGGGAAATTTTTGTTTGAAAAGTTTTTTAAAAAGGGTTACTTTTGATCTACTTTTAGGGGGGTTTTAAAACGTAGGTCTGTAATAAATGACAAGAAATGCATTTTCATCACATGATAAAATTATTGTCAGATATTGCTTGGAAAATACAGCAAATCAATGTTTCTCAGGCTAATTTTTTATTACACATGTATAAAGAAATACTCAATGGTACATTACTATCAACAATGAAAACAAAAGCGATGTTATTTGATGAAATTGTTAAGAATTTGCTTCTATATTTCTTAAATTATGCAATGTAGTATATATATGTATATATTGTAAATGTCGATATTAAAAGTCACTGTTAATACTTAACTAGTCACGTAAAATAAAGAATAAAATTTCAAATATTAAAGCTTCATAAGTTAAATTTGAATATCACAGATTAAGCACTTAATAAAAAAACTGGGCGTACAATTGCATTATCCTTCTCTAGTTATCTATGACTTTTTACCGGGTTCTGAAAGTTTTTTGAAACATATGAAAATAGGGCTTTCAATAACAGGAAGACACTTTTTGTTTCTTTATATAATTTCTGCCCTATCAGCTCTTGGCCGATACTATTTAAATTTAAAAGTGCTTTCATTTTTGCCATTTAATTTAATAAATAAATAAAAGTTTCAACTAGAAATTAAACCATTACAATTTTTTATCATCTAGAATAAGCTCTACATTTCTTGTACTTTGGGGAGGGGGTTGGTTGAGGGACGGTTATTTATGTAATATTTACATAAAAGTACTGAAAGAAATTTGTCAGTTGTCATATTTTAGTGTGGAATCATGATATGTTAATTATTGGTCTAAAGTCACATTGACAATATGAAAATTTTGTGTGTTTTGGCCTTAAATTCATAGTTTATCACATCTGTCAAAAAAGTTCTAGGAGTAAGGAATGACTTTACTTGATGAGCAAAGAAAAAAGAATGATATTGGTTTTCTCAAATACATACAACTGAACAGCATCAGTTTTCTCACATTTACACAGATTTCATTTTAACCTTCTGGAACTTGAATACTAGTATAAAGCCAGGCCAGCCTGCATATTCCTGCAGTCTGACCATACTGTTTGCAGCTCAATTTTTAGCTTGTCTGTTTCCCATTATATGATCCCTGCTGCACCGTAATCATCAGGCAAAAGCTAAAATGTAGCCCAATTTTTCAAACATTTTAAAAGTTATCAATATAAACACTTGATTATGGTTAAAATTTAAGATGTAAGGCTAGTCATGCATGCTGTACAGAAAGATTTTTTTTTTGTCACTGAAATGTTAATGGCTAGCTTTTAAAGGGAAAAATTATGTAACTGTGTGTAACATAAGAGCGTAGCAGTGTTGTGTTTATAATATCAAGTGTATATTTTAAAGCTTTCAAATTAAATAATTTGTTAATCGA